ACAGGTCTGGGCCATTAACTATGCCTTCCCAGCCATCACCGCCCATTCCTGGGCCTACCCAGCTATGCTACTCGCCTGGTCTGCAGCAGATACCATTAGGTATTCTTACTTCGTAGTAATGCTGGCCGGGATACCGGTACCTGCTGCTTTGAAATGGCTAAGGCGAGTTCTTTTTACATCCGATACTTAAACGAACTGACCCCGGGCCATTGCCTCCGGGTTGGGGTTCAACTAACACAAATGAATGGATAATAGATATTCGCTCTTCTTCGTCCTCTATCCTGTCGGAATCAGCAGTGAATGGTGGTTAATGTATCATGCTGCAAATGCCACGTCTAGTCTTGCCGTGGCCGGCATCTTCTATTTCTTTCTTGTGCTTTATGTGCCTGGTATGTTTTTTATTCTTGGTATTTCTTGGTTGTTGGCTTGTCTAATGTGTTGATGTTAGGAACGCCTATGATGTATAAGTACATGGTTAAGCAGCGGCGCAAGACCTTGGCTCGGCCTTAGGTGGATGGTTTTCTTTTATTTTTATTTATTTTTTTGTGTAAGATTCGGTCTTCGATGAAGGAAAGGGGGTTGGTTCTTATTCTGTTTGTTTGTTGTATTACATGTGTATATCTTTGTTTCAGGTTGTGGCTTGGTTCAAAATTCTCTGGGAAAAGGCATGTATAGATTGAGAGAGGGGTTTCTGTCGGTGTTGCTCTTCGTATGATGTTGGATATAGTCTAGTGGCTTGGTTTATATGTACATGTAGCTTGGTGGTGTGAGATGAGAAAACTTCGAGTGATATGATTTTGAACTAGCATAAGCTGTACTCTTTGTAATTTCAGGGCTGATACCTCGTTATGATAGGGGCGTGGTTGATGGGAGGTTTAAAAAGTAACATCTATGTTGCGCAGGTGGCGTTGGCTGAGCAAAGCCGATACTGAATCTGAGGTTGCATTTTTGCAGTCTGGAAGACTAATAATGAGTGTTTCTCATCTGGAAGATACCCGTTTTGCACGTGGGTTGATCCATGTTCTTAAAGGCTCTATTAAATCTATGTAAAGAGTTCGATCTGGATGGGGAGTGTGAGGAATACGTAAATGATTTTATAGTAGAACCCACTCTAATGAATGCCTTCGATTTCGTTATTTCTCCAACTAATCGGGTATCGTTATGTACTCAAACCATTTTATACCAGTGCAACCAGTCTCCCGTACATAAGACCAGACCAAGATATCTATTTTTAACGTAATCACCTGAAAGTGAATGACTTTCCGGGGGTCTCACGCTTCTGCTTGCGCACTCCACTGGGTGCTTCAAGCGCCTTCGCGTATGGGTTGAATGGTCGTTTCTTGTGAAGTGAGGCGGTCTGGGCTGGCTTTGCGTGCAGGACGGAGGCAGCGGCCTCATAGTTGAAGGGCTCAGCTTCTTCCTTCTTTTCCTCGGGCTGCGGAGTCTGCGACGCAGCTTTGTTCTTCTTTTCCTTCCGGCGTTGTTTCTTGGACGGTTTCTCTCCGATGTGTATCACATCACTAGATTCATCGGCTTCTGGCGACGGCGCTTCTTCACTCTTCCGTTTGCGTGGGCCGCCAAGCCCCTTGACTGTGAAGATCTTGTTCTCCTCCTTTTCCTCTGGTGCTTCAACAGGAGCTAGGGTAGGTTGGGGAGGCGCAGGCTTGGTAGCAGTCGAGCCAGCAAGCTTGTCGCGAGCTTCAGATACCGTACGAGGCATGGGTGGCAGCGGGAGCGACAGTCGGAGGGCTTCTGCAGAGGCGACGGCGGAGTACTCGGGGGGAGTACGGGGTTCCCGAGAGTCCAACACTGCACCCCAGAACTGGGACACCTCGCAGCGCGCAGCAGTAGGCAAGTTCTCCTCACCCATAGGTGGCGTCACAAGACCCTGTTCGGTTTCCGTCGCTGGAACAGATCGCCCCGTCTTTGTCGGCTTCACATACACATCACGCCATTCAGGGCCGTCAGCGCCTTCAATCTTTGCGTTTTTGATGACCTCCAGGAGGTCCGCGGCCCTGTCCTTAGCGATGGGTGTCACTGGCGACAGTGTCCGGAACAATGTCCCCAGGTCCAGAGGCATAGCGTGGGCAACCTTGAAAAGGATGTGCTTAGGGAAGACACACTGCACGCCTTCGTCCTCCTCTCTCGCAACTGCGTCACGCCATTGATGGACTGCTTTAAAGACAGCAAATTGCTCCTTGCTCAGGACCGCGGGATTGCGTGATAAGTAGTCGTACCAGCCACCTGGTCCTTGACCTGTGGCAGCATCATAAGGAGAACGCTCGAAACGTTGCAGAGCTTCGTCCTTTGATTTCTTCAAGACGTAGTCGATGAGGTTGTTTTCGGGCGTTGAGTTCTGAATGAGTTCGTTGCGTAAGTGATCGAAAATGTGAAGAAGGTAGTGGGTATCGGATCTGGCGTAGTCAAACATGCCCTCTGGAATCGGCCGAATTCGCCAGTCGGCCATTTGGTACCTTTTGTCGGCTTCGAAGTTGACAAGCTTTTGCAGGAGGAACTTCAAACTCCGCTTGGGGTAATTCAGGGCGCAAGCAGCGTGGTATGTATCAAACATGCCAACTACGTAGAGCCCTAGATCGCGTTGAAGCCAAATGATATCCATGGACGAACCGTGGAACACTTTGAGGATGCTAGGATCCGCAAAAACCTCATTAAGCATCTGAAGCTCCTCTCTCCACGGTTTCAGCGTGTCGACCACCCAGTCCTTATCGCGAGTACTGATCTGCATCAAAGAAACAAGACCTTGATAGGAATGCACATCATGATGCTCTAGATCGATAGCGATCTCCTTCGCAGATTTAAGCTCTTTCAACATATCCTTCACTCCTTCCAAGGTATCCACGAAAGTCGCGGCTGTTGACTCCCAAGGCTGGTAAGGAACGGGAGGTGACACAGTGTAGGTAGACTCTGGATACTTTGCGGCGCGTATCTCGGGCTCATACGGGTTTCTAAAACCTGTCACAGGGTCCGACGATTCAACAGATTTCTCCAACGGAACTACCGCATGCGGTTTAGTTCTGAGCAATGGCTTGAAAGGCGAGACATCGGCGTTATCGACTTGACGCTCAAAATGCAGCTGAGGCTTCGGGATCTTCGACGGGCCGTAATCGTAGATGGTGGGAAACTTCGAAGTAGTCTTCTTTGTAGCCTTGGGTGCATCCTGTTCTTGCTGCGATGGGCTCAGTCTTTTAATCACACCGGTAAATTCATCCAAGCAAGCATCCGCCCTTTCCAAAAGAGCATCAATAACATCCACCACACCGCGCCAATTGTCTTCGATAGAGTCTTCATCCTGCAGGGTCGGCGCGGGTAAATCGGTACCGACTGTGGCGGCTTTCAAGAGAGAAGAGGTTAGTGAAAGAATCCTGCCGCTTTGTTCATCGATGGACTCAGAAAGCTCCGCGCTTGAAGTGCGGTGAAAACTGAGATCTTCAGCAGAGAGCTGGCCAACAGTGCGCGTCATCTGCACGAGCGACGACGTTAGCTGCTGCTGGAACGGCGGAAAGTCTGCTGCGGAATCCATTGTGATTTAGCTCCAAGTATCCTGTTTAATGATAAATACAGAGCTGATATGGTACTGAACAAACAGACAGGGCAAGATTGTTTGCGCCTGGCAGTCGTGTTTGACCAATAATCACTTTTAGTTCATATAAAAAAAGAAAAAAGGAAAAATTCGGAGGTGGAGAAATGCTGAAGCCGGCGGACTGCTGACCGCCTACTTAAATCGGATTAGAAGGGTACAGCGGCGATGATCATCCTCATCTACTTGCCGGCGTATCATTACTTATCCTATTCGCCTCACTATTCCAGCCATAGACACGGAAAAGCAAAAGCGCCTTCTGACATCCTTGTGGAGTCTTCTACTTATTAAGATCCATCATGTCTGCCTCTATAGCACCCGAATGCAATGATATCAAAGAGTAGTTTCCACCTAAGCCACGCCTAAATCTACTATGGCAGCTAACTGTGACCAGGAGATATGACACCTGCTTTCTCAAATGGTACAGTGAAAGTGAGTTTTTCCTGTTAAACACTTCTGCATTTCCTCAATACTTACAAAAACAGAATACCTCCGTGGTAATACAACATCGAATGACTGCGAAGAACTATTCTCTAAATACAAGACTTGCTTAAATGTAACATATTACCAGCCCGTACTTCATGACGTGCACTAACTTCTCGGGCAGAAAGTGCTAAAAGAAAAAGGCATCGATTCCATGCTGGAAGATGTTCGGAAGGGTAACTCCGAGATGGATGCCGAGCACAATCGGAGGAGTTGATATCTAGCTTCGCTATAGATACCTCATCTCCGCTCCATATACAGACTAATAAGCAAGCAAATGGGTCCAGTGGCCTGAAATATTTTCATCTTCAAGGGCCAGATCATGATTTAACCTGCCATGAGCAGCCAACCTTTCGCGGTGCAAGTTCTATTGCAATGTTGGTTTGCAGTTCAACGTGGAATAAGTCGTCAAGCTCATTGACTGGACCTCTTGCAACTTCACGCTGATTCTTAGAAAAGCCAATATTTTGCACGCCAGTTGTTAAGGCTTCATGTGTACGACAATGTCTACGATGGCTCGTTCAGAAAGTCTCACCTCAACTCATTCTGTACTAACACGGTCTCCCCTCTCATGTACTTTTATACATATGTAAACTAGATCATTTCTCAGACCATACATCATTTAGCGACGTTTTGCTTGATACGATTGATGTGGCTCGTTGTATTCGGGAAGTAGGGTATTCAGCGTGGTATGGGATGTCAGGGTGATAAGGGTGATCTACCCTGGGGATAATTTGCGAGCGATTCATGAGAATCGATCTGTTACTTGAACCATACAGAGAATCGAACAATAAACTCAACCTGAAACCAGATCACATAATGAATAGTACTGAAATTAGATTATATTATATCTATGTGCATAAACACGCATAAACTCATTTCCAAATCTCATCAATCAGAGACAACAGATAATGTCACATCACCGATGTCCTCGTCTCCTCATATCACCCTGACCGAACCCACCCGGAACCTTGAGCAACCCATTCCCCGTTGCACCCATCCCCCCGACCATAGTAGAGGAACCGCCACTACCACTATTGGCTTTACGAGGCTGGGTCAACAAGGACCATACCTCGGCCATTCCGGCCCGACGAGCAGGAAGCATACTATATTGCATACTGTAGAGATTGCGGCGGTGGATTGGGGGCACGAAGCGGCCTGTTACCAGGCAGAAGATCACGCGCGGCGAAAGATAGTGTGCTCGGAGCCGATGACCTAGTTGGAAGTATTGGTCGAACATGGCACGAAGAGTTAGGGGTATTGACTAGTTTTCGGTTAGTTTAAGCATTACTTCCAAGAGTGTGGATGGTTCTAGATAGAGTGACAGTAGGTATGGAGCGGCATACCTCGAGATGGATGTAAGGTACTTTGGAAGCCGAGTCGGAGTTTGATGACTTGCCGTGCTCTTCGCGGAGCTCAAAGTGAATGCCGCCTGCGATTTCGGGTTAGTTATGTATTGCTTGATAACCAGCCACGTGAGAGTGTAAGAACGCACCTGGCAGTCGCCGAGAATCTTTGACCCTCAACATTAAGGCGAAGAGTGGAAAGTGGTTCAAGAATGCCAGACATGTATCAAGTGCCGCTTTCACTGAGATGATTGACATCCTAGCGGTTGCAAAAGCCAGGTAGAAAACGATGATGGTTGGAAGGAGAAAGAAGAGCACCGTGAACAGGATTGTCCCGATCAGGAGTTGATCTAGATCGTAATCGCACGAATCTATACGGTTGCGCAGCACATTCCGCTTCTTACCACGGAACAGGTGGAATAGGGATATGATGATAGTCAGCTGCCAGTTGAAGATGCGTGCCGAGGCGATATAAAATGAGTAAATGTGCACAGTCAGTATAGACACGAGATCTGAGAAGAGGGCAATGGGCATGCTGGCACCCGCAAAGCTAGAACACCCAACAACATATATAACGTGAGGAAGGTAAGGCTGTAGGTTTGCAATGAAAGCTTTTCTTGGTTAGCTGAAGGAGGAAAACAAACGGGGGAAAGCCTTACCAGCCCAATTCTCTATTACCCACAGGAACAGATCGCCCAGAAAAGCGGCGAGCTCGTTATTCAACTTCAAACCTGCTGGCCAGTCCATCAGCCAAGAGATGGTACGTTGTAATCCTTCCACAGTCCAGCCAGTAAGAATAGAGTTGATTTGCAAAGCCACCCAATTCGCATTATCAATGATATAGGAACCCAACGCTATTCCGATAATCACGTCGTTCGCAACAAGCCATAGACTGTTGTAGAACCGGATATAGTCAGGATGGCTGGTAGTCACACTCTCCCAATTATCCTTCCTCTGTCGCAGCTTGACGTATTGAATGGGCCAATAGCAGAACTGTTGGAGCCGAATATCAACTTGCTGGGCCGTTGCTGATATATCCTTCAAAGCTGCTGCATCTGGCCGAGCGCGCCACTCTAGAACCTGGAGAACGATCTCCGCAATTGTCCGATGGAACACAAGACCGATGACGAAGACCCGAGTGATGACAGGCCAAACCCATTGCCAGAACACATAGGAAACACCAAGGACAAAAAGATCCCACAGGGTCGTTGCAGATTCGACAACTCGCTCACCAACGCTCATACTCCTCTTGACACGAATCCCAATCAAGTGACTATTCTTTTCCATGAGCTTTCCCATCTCGTAGGCGCAATTCACTTGGTTGATTATGAGGGGTAGTGCCTGCTCTTTGTGCGACGGGACATGCTTAACGACCGTATGAAGCTTAAGTTTTTCAACCAACTTCTGAGACTGAGCCTTATTCCGTTCCTCCTCTGTATCGATCTTGTCGGATACCGAATCGGATTTGTCCGCAGTAATAACCTTGTCGCCAAGAGCAAGGGAAATCGGCTCTAGCGACATATACTCCATTCGGGTAGGATGGGGTCGATGAAACATGATAACCTGAATAGACACACTCGTCTCCGGCGGACAATATATCCGAGGAATCTTATACGATGGATGCGTATTCACATAGAGGTGCGACGGGTTAAACGCTGTCGGTGGCTCTCGTGGATTGGTCGTCCCCAGCACATGCATAGCAGATCTGCCACAGAGCGTAAATATCCTCACAATCGGATGGGGGCTGTTGCGAAAAAGGATTCCGGCACGCAGGGCATTGTCGACATTCCGAGGCTAGTAAACGCAAGGCCTGTCAGTATCCCACCAGCAGACCGTATGAAAGCCAACCAATGCCTCAGCTCACCTCCACATCTTCCAAGACCGTCAGCACGAACAAGTCGAGCTCCGAATTCTTCCACCCAACAATTACGCCCTGTGACGACGACCGAGGGAGGTCGTATGGCCAAAATACCCGCAGCAATCCATCGCTCATGAGCATGTTGTCATCCTTTAGGTGTGATTAAAAGGAGCCGCGGCGGCGTAACTGTTCTCGGGCAGATACGCCCAGGTTGACGTATCGGGGGTGCTGATATTAGACATATTAGCTTCGTTTTTATTCGCAGGCAGGTTTCTCGCTCCGTTGGATCGCGGGCTTGATTCAATTGGTGTGTGTCGCATACCAATTCGCCTTCTTTCGCAGCCAGGTAGCTGATAGGGAGGACAAGTAGAAAGTAAAAAATGGACAGAAGCACAAATCCCTTCGCTGTTCGTGTCTGTTTCGGATATGAGTATCAGTCCATGCAACATCAATGCCGTGTGATGGAAGTCAGGCCCGGGCCGCGCGTACGACGGAGCCGAACAAGTATCCCGCGGTGGGTAAAAGATAGAGAGGGGCTGGCAAACAACACGTACCACAACGCCGTGATCCCAAGCAAATATAGCCAGTTCATATAAACGAGTAACGAGGTCCCACCTTGCGGTGATGTAGCCCGCGACGAAGATGCCGAGTGTGAGGATAGAAAAGGGGTGCATGAAATACGGTGGTTCGGCGGGTATCACCTTAGTTTGCGCGCATAGCTCTCAAAACCAAGGATCAAGAAGGGAGTGGCAGATTCACTGGTCCGAGACTGCACTGAAGGAATGACGATCGCTCAAGGAAGGCGACGAAACTTGCGAGGCCAAAATATTAGGACAACTGCTAAACCCTGGCTGGTTGTGGTGAGGACTGGAAACGATGCGCTTATAGATTAAGAATACTATCCCCGGTGGAGCGTCTAGACCTCCGCGGTCCCACGTGACCGATGTAGATAAATGTAGTTAAATGGAATGCATTCACTTTACCTTAAGCAGTATGTACAAAGAAATAATCACTGGAAATTTCAGGATAACATTATTCCCTACACATTTTATCCTCATAGCCATAGGTCACACATACACAGATTGATCCCATCCAAACGCCGAACCGCTATGACCCCGAGAAAGAAAAAAGACGCAAATGCTAATCTATAAAGCCTTGATGCCCTGGAAGACCTTGTTTGCTTGCAGCTTTTCATCTGCTTTTACGAGATCACGCATGATCTGTCGCTTCTCTTCCACCGTCAACTCCTTACCAGAGGACTCAGTCTCTGCCTTCCATTTCAACAACATCGCTTTGAGAAGGGCACTGCCCTCCTCAACTTCTTCCTGCGAGTACCCATCGATCGCCATGGATGACTGCTGGCCTTGCTGTTCTGAGGAAGTAAAGTCTTCAAGTTCCTCTGCCTTCTGACGGGCCATGTTGACCACCTTTTCTGGGAAGCGGACCAATTCGGCAACATGGATACCGAATGACTGGTCACAAATGCCAGGCTCGACACGATACAGGAGAGTGACCTGGTTCCGCTTGGATTTCTTATCTTCACTGTCATCATCGGTACCATCGCCGATGAAGGCGACTACGTGCAAGTTCTTGACAGACTTGGGGTATCGATCGGCGAGAGCCGTCAGTTCATGGAAATGAGTAGCGAAAAGGCCGAAGCAGCGAATCTCTGTGACGATGTGTTCAGAGATGGCCCATGCTAGGCCGAATCCATCATATGTGCTTGTACCGCGCCCAAGCTCGTCGATGATGATAAGAGACTCGGACGTTGCCGATTTGAGAATATTGGATGTTTCAAGCATCTCAGCCATGAAAGTGGACACTCCCTTTAACTGCGAATCACTGGCACCGACACGCGCAAGGATGCAGTCAAAGATGGTCAATTCTGCTTCCGTGCAAGGCACAAAGCAACCCGTCTGAGCCATGAGAGCGATAACACCGATTTGGCGAATATAGGTCGATTTACCTCCCATGTTGGGTCCAGTAATGATCAGGAAGGAGGACTCGTCTCGGACCAAAGCCACATCATTAGTGATGAATGAGATGTCATCCTGCATTTCCATACAAGGGTGCCGCGCTTCCTTGAGAACTGTATTTCCGGTGCCTCGTGGGTGCATCTTGGGCCGAGCATAGGGGGTCGGCGCATGAACAGAAGCATGAGCGAAGCTGACAATGACATCGAGGTGTGCTAGGACACCAGCAAGTCGCTCCAGGACAGGGCAGTAGGACGCAGCGACGTTGACGACCTCATTCACCAGGCCGGTCTGAGTTCTATTGTAGTTTGAGGACAGTTGATCATGCTCGCGGCGAAGTGTTTGCATAGTCGACGTAGTGAAATAGACGCCGTTCTTCTGTGTAGAGCATTCCTGGTACTCTCTCTTGTTGCGGATACAGCCCGACTCGTTGCGAGTAAGTCGGAAGCACCATCCGTGCACCCTGTGGTTCTCGAGGAACAACTTCTTCTCCATATCTTGGTCAAGGTCCCGAGCTACCCTACGGTGCTCGACGCCCATATCATGACGGAGCTTGTCCAGCTTTTTCCTGATGATCCGCAGGCTCTCGTCAAATTCAGGCTTGATGATGAACTCGTGGTTCTCCAGCGCATCAAGATCAACCGTAGTCTCAACCATCTCCTCCAGTTTCGCTAAGCTATCGGAGTGGCTCCGGAGGTTGGAAGTATACTCCGTCTCCAGAGGCGTCTGATACTCTTCATCCATCACATTCTCGAGAGAGTTGACAAAGCCAGGCAAACGAATGGCAACCTGATACACCCGCACAACATCTTCCAGGTTTGCCTTTTTGCGCTGGAACCGCTTCGCCAGTCTGTACAGATCCGGTATAGAGCGAAGGTGCTCCTCCTGCATAGTTTGTCTCAGCTCCGTGTTGACAACAAAAGCCTCAACAAGCTGCTGTCTCTTCTCAATCTCCGCCAGATCCATCAACGGCTGCTTCAGCCACTGCGCAAGCAAGCGGCTACCAACAGGGGTCTTGCAATGATTCAACAAGCCAAACAAACTCATAGACTTCGATCCGTCCCGCGGACCAGGCATAAGGTTAAGAGCACGCAACGCCGACGAATCCAACTTCATAAACTGAGACAAATCATGCTGATAAAGTTGGTACTGGCCGAAATTCGTAGGATCAGACATAACCCCAAGGTACTTGATCAACGCAGATGCCGAACCCATAGCAAGCTTCAACTCTGTCTGCGGCAGCGTACCTGCTGACCGCTCATCCCTCAACAGCCTCGTCAGATCCTGCTCAATATCCTTAACACCAAAATCAGCCACCGGCCTCTCAGAGATAGCGATCCCGCAACTGTCAGCAATAGCCCGGATCTTCCCCAGCTCAACGTCTTTCTTGTTAGCATCCATCTGCACCAGGCACTCCTTGACCCCGAGCTGGATAATAAGCGACTCAAAGTTGGAATAGATATCGTTATCCATAAACTCGCTAACACCGAGTTCCCGCACACTCGCATCCGCGAAGCATACTCCCACACTCCTAGCCTCCGCGGCCTTGGCCGAGATCTTCACCGCTAAGATAATCGGAGCCGAGTCCATGGATAATCCACCAACACTGCCCAGCTCTTCTTCCACGTCTTGGAGGTTTCCTGGGCTAGCTTGTTTTACCAGCTTCCAATGGCCCTTGCCCGTGCCGACAGAGCCCCAGATTTCAATGCGTTTGTTGAGTCGGAAGAGAGCTTCGCGGAGAAAATTGCGGAAGACGGTCACGCTCATGGTGACGGAAGGAAGGCCTCCGGAGTCGCTGCGACCTAGGTTGCGGAGTATAGAGGTAGTCTTGTATACGGTGCGAGCGATGAACTCTGCCTCTGCACCATGGGCAGAATACCAGTCACCACGGTCGAAAACGCGGATAGTTTCATCGTTGCTGTCTGCTGCGAGGGAACGGTAAAAACGAATGAAGCCGACTTCGTCGTCAACCTGGAACAGGGCAAATTGTTATTGAATGTTCGAGAGAGGGGTTGCTTTATTCAATTACCTTAAGTTCTGGACGAGAAGACATCTTGTCAGTTAGTCTCCAACAAAGATGAATGGAAGACTGACCATGAGCTGCGCCAGCGGTGATCTATTTCGATCATTCCAGAGACGCGCTCCGTGGCAACGCGGTCACGTGCAGTCGCGTTCGCGATATATTGAATATTGGCCAATCATAAAAGCCGTTGTAACTCTACAATGTGACACGTCCAAAAAACGCCTACACATATGAAATGAAGTGCTTCATGTTCAGCATGATTGATATGCATTTCCTAATAGCTAAAATGGTATATGATAGATGCAACGCTAACAGATGCTACATGAGGGTGCCAATAAAGTCATGTGTATCAAACTCCACAGATGGGGTATCCAACCCAGCAACACCAGACATCCAAAACACACATTAAACAGTAAAGGTATTGATTAGGGTTTTGGAATTGAAGCAGGCTCGTTCTCGTCGAACTTCAGTTCGCGCACCTTCGCACCGATATCCTTGAGGTTGATATCAGCAGAAGATTTTAGAACCACCGATTTGATATGATTCACGGTGACGAAATCGACCCATTGTCCAGCAATGTCGGGCCGAGCCAGCACTTCCAAGCAAATTTCCACCTCTTTCTCTGAAATAGGATTCTTCGATGAGTCCTGAACGTTCTGTACAATCATCTCTAGCCGGAACGGCTTCCTCTGGGCAGCCACAGTAGCTGTTGGCCCACTACCCACATAACCAGCTGGCCTCAGCAAAACCAGCACACCAGCGACTTCCTCAATGCGTTCAACAGCAGCACGACGAAGCAGCATCTCCTTTGACGGAGGGGGCGGTAATTTCGACTGACGGAGTGCCTTGCTTCTGATCCGATCCAGAAGTCCTGTGCGACGAGCATTCGTCGCTTCGGGTGTTTTCCCAGGCGACTCTTCCACTGGCGCTGCCTTAAGCTTCTCCATTTTCATTTTGATGACTCCGCCCTTCAAATCCTGCAACCGCTGCTGGCCTTTCCGAAAGTTCGTGAATGGTGTAAGCGACTCGTGGATGGACGAAACGCCCAGCGTTGCGATAAAATCCACCTGGCTTTCATCACCATCAACAGCATCCAGAGCTTTCTCCCAGAGAAAGTCGACGATTTGCTCAAACTGTTCATGCAATTCATTATCGTCGATTGCCCACTGTTCGCGACGCACACGTTCCAAACAGACTTTTCCCAATCCATAATTAGCAATTCGGTAGTTGAGCCCCGTGGCCTCCGAGTCTTGCTCCCAAATCCATAGTAATCGTTGCAGATCCTTCACCACGACCTTCCGTTTCTTCCACAACCGCTCAACACTAGGAAGAAACTCCCTCAAGTCCGCGGGAGTATCTGTACCGTGATGCGCATGGTGAAATGTGATGGCTTTAAGGAAAGACGAATGCAACTTAATCAAGTCATTCACACAAGCGGGACGCACATGGAGAACAGTTGCACTAGGCCGCGATGTAGCCTTACCCTTAGCACGCTTTGACGGAGAAGTCGGGATCGCAGAAATAATACCGGCGGCGGCAGTCCGCGAAGTACGGGTAGGAGATGCATAATGACCACTCCGGGGAGTCGATAACGACAGCTCCTTGATATGGATAGATTTCGAGGGCGTAAGCGCTTCGGTCGTGGGTTCCCCCTTTTCTTGAGTCCGCGGGTTACTGCAGTCTACGTTCTCGAGTTCGTTCAGTTTCCGTTTCTTGGAAGGCGAGACCGGAAGACTGGCGACGGCCTGCTTGCCATCTACAGCTGATCTGAGACCGGGCTTGGTCGTTCTTGCGAAACTTTGGATGCCGGTCTGTCCTCGGGGAAGGGGGTTTTGTCGGGTGGAAGTGCGCGGCATCGTGACTGCCTTGCTTGTTGAGGATAAATGAGATGAGATGTAGATTATGGAAGGAACATATAGACAATTAGGAAGGTTTGATGCGTAAAATACAAATGCAATTGGGAAATGGTTCGCGTGGAAGGAGTGGGTGGGCACTTGATATTATTTAGCTGGCGATTAGGTTTTTTTTCCTGGTGGAGCGCGTCGCGTTTGGCGCGTGTTGGCGTCGTGTCCGGATGCGGTTATATTGGGTCAACCCACTCCAGATCTACTCCACTGTCATTGACACGAACCCCCGAGGGATTTTCATAAGTATTTATAAGATGAATCTATTTTGGAGGGGTTTCAAGTTGGAGTCCGAAAACCACAGCACTACTAGAAGTTCTCGAGTGGATAACTCACTCCGTATGTGCATGGCACTTTGTCACTACGGTAATCGGCATGACAGGAATGCAACATACCTCAGCACCACTAGCTTCTACCAGTAGAGCAAGCCCCTCTGTCGAATCCTCTATCTTATCGGGATTATCAAGTTATCAGACTTGGTCGGTGCCACCGATAACCGGACAATACACATACAATATTTTCGTTCCATGCAGAGTGCCAAGTCTATACTTCTAACCATTTACCACTATCATGAATCAACCATTTCAAGGATAATAACAATGTCAATGAAAAATAATAGCATTAATTGCCTTCATGCGAGAGGATATGAGCTAGCTGATATTAACATAATTAAAACCATCGCAATAACGCGCTTTATTCAATTTTCAGACACAAAGTCCCCCTAGATTACTTGCTACCACTCCACCAGCTCGACAAAGATCCCTTCGCCTCACTCGTCTTCTGCTCCACTGTCTTATCAAATTTATCGACGTTAGCCTTGATCGTTGCTGACGCATCCTGTCGCACGTCATTAAGCTTATCGAGACTCTCGTGGGCTAGTCCTGAAGCACGATTGCTGGCGTCTTGCGCCTGGGTGCGGGCATTGGACACCTGATCACACATTAGCTCTCATCTATACAATAGGAAAAGAGGGAAATATATAGAACATCAAAGCAACTCAAGATAGGGAGATAAAGAACATACCGCCTCGTCGATGTGCGCACCAGCTTCGGAACCAACTTTCTGACCAGCTTTTTCGGCCTTGTCCGCAGGGACCTTGTTGCGAGCTACATCGGCATCATCTACCAAAGGTCAGCTTCGTGCTCGCAACGATAAAGAGTGACGGGAATAGGAAAGGAAGAGAGTACGTTTAATCTCTTGCTTCGCGGCCTTTGGGTCACCACCCGCCCGATACAGATAGTAACCGCCAACACCAGCGGCAGCGAGAGCGGCGTAGAGTCCGGTTCTGTTCGACATCGTAATGGATGGATTGCAGTTGCTGTGATGATATTCAAATTCAAGGTTGCTTTAAAATTGAAGTTCTATTGGATTGAATGTGAGAAGGCGAGGCAAACAAGGGCTTTAAAAGTCTGGGGTAAGATGAAGGACCATGTCATGGGTTATGACGTCTACGTCCTGGGTTTCCTTGTGTTAATAATATTTCGCAGACTACATACGTATGTACATGTACATGGTTTTTCACTGAGCATACACACACTTCCGTTGGTTACCACTACTGTTAGTTACGGTTTTTGGGATCTACCAATTACTTTTAGTCCTTAGTTCTAATTCTAGGTATACGTATGTACATGTATGTACTAAATTCGTACGTACATACGGAGTACATACATAGTATATGTACATACTCAAGAGCCATCTCTCATCGGCGAATACCACTTGAGCGCCGGCCGAAGGAAGACTCTGTTCAAGCGTTGCATCGCTTTGCATCGCTTTTCATCGACGTCACCTGATAGTCATGTCCTTCTCCATGGCGCGCGTGTTTCAAGGAACCGAGGATTTGATGTAAATGTGGGGCTCAACGTCATGGATCATCGCCATCCGTTCCGCTTCGGGGCGCAGGCTGGAAGCATCCATTGCTGGGATCTCTGAAGTTCCTCTGCAGGCACCCTTTGTCGCCTTGACACATTAGTACTACGCATCTAGCAGGCGATGATACAGATTGGATAGTCCTTGGCCGACAAATTGACCGTCGTATTTATTGTCCACTTATTTGCAAACTAGTTGATCACGTACATGGACGCATAATAACCATATCGAGACCCGAATGTAGTAAAACACGATCATCAAACCCCGCCACACAAAGGAAACGTCCATATATATATAGATAGATAGAAACAAGGCAATCCCAATGAACAATTAAAGCCACACCACGACCAGAGTAGAAAACTCCATCCAGAACCTCGTAGCTGAACTCGAGATTGAGGCCGAGGGGTATCTTCATGCGCTATGGACAAACCCATAAACAACGCCCGAACATGCGAATATGCAAAAACCAGCGCGACCTTGATGGAAAAAGACAGACAGAGAAACAGTGGGAAAGAAAATGAAGACACCCGAAAGAGACTGGTAGCCACGAGTCAAAACCCCTCCCTGTTAATCGAGTCACTTATGCATCATATTCATCAGTCATCATTTCATAACGATTCCCAGTCAAGCGGCGGTGAATAGCTCCCCGGAAGTCGGTAGATCGAGGATCTCAAACGCCATAACTATATCCAGGATAGCGTAGAGGGAAAGTAAGAGAAGGCCAGGTGACGTGCGATATACAACACCGGCTCAACGTCACAAAAGAATAGAAAAAGGCCGAGCGAGCGGGAAAGGTGGAAACCTTTGCCAGTTTCGCCGGACCACTTCGGTCACCGCGAACCTATGTAAATTGGTCGATGTCCAGCACATTGGTAATCATCCCGGACGGTATATTTCATGCAAACAACTTTGCAGATCCCTTATTCTCACTGGTTGCGACAGCAACTAGAGCCTCGAGCCTACCCATACCGGACTCTCTGCTTGAGGGATGGTTATTGTTGAAGAAGTTAGTTCCGGGTTTGGGTTTGCTATGGTACCCATCGGACTGTGATGCCTATAGTTCAATTAGTGACCTTGCCGTTATCGATTCATCGGGTAACGGGTGCGTACTGTTTGAGACGCATCGGATGAGAATGGGGTATGATGCGGTTCGATGTACCCGTTGTTATGCACAATAGCAGGGTGGTACTCAAGAGATGCCGTTGATGGGGTATGAACTCCTTCACTACTGCTTGAATCCTCCGGGGATGTTCGAGTAGCATGAATGGTGCTGCTGTAACTTGGACCGCGAGAATGGTGTCCGCGGTAATCCTGGTATTGTTGCTGTGAATGGTAGGATGTAGACGGGCGAGAGCCAACATTATGAAGTTCGGCAATAGTCTGCTGGCCCCAGTGTGATGCGTCTTTATGGAGGGGCTTATCCCGGATATGCAATCCAGTCAAATTCGTGTGCAATGACATGTCCCAGGAGACATGACCCCGACGATGCCCAGGACCAGAAATCGGGGGAGGTGGCCGAACTGACGGCTTGTTATAGTTGAATCCACCCCCAAAGTTATAGTTAGGTGGCGGTTTATTGCCATTATCAAAGTGCATCGGGCTTGGCCGGCGCACCGGTGGAGTGAGAGGCCGCTTCGAGACAACCTTATCAAAGCTCTCAATTCCCGGCAGACGCGGTGGTTGTTCGTCCTGTACATTGGCGCCATAAGATGGGGCCAATGTCTCGGTAGGCTGGTAGTTGCCGTATCCGCTAGTAGCAGGTCGTGCGACGGTCGAGTACGTGGATGGATGCCAGGTACGTCTCCGCAAATCGGCATCCGCTGCATTGTGTGATGTCTCATCCCGGGATATCGAGTAGTTGGAGCTCACTGGGCTTGCATAAACCCCTCCCGGGGGGTGATATGCAACTGTCGAGCCCACGTTTGCGTATCCAGGGGGGTAGGCATTGACCGGTTGCGATGCGAAAGGATTAGCTCCCGACGGAACGGACAAGCGCCGCGCTGCGGTTTTACCATCCCAGAAGCCAGAGGCATGAGATGCCGCAGACATCGGCGAGGCGACATGAGGACTGCCGTTGCCTCCTGCAAAGATATGAGAGGGTGCGTAGGGTGAGCCAGCCACAGCTGGGCCCGGTACCCCACGGATTTGACCTGGTGGTGTACTAGGGGGATCGCCCATTGTATCTAAAGCGAGACGAGCTCGTCCGTCATTCGCCATAATCAAAGGCGGAGGTCGGCGACGAAGCTCCGGAGGTTGACTAAATGTCGACGCGGTCGACGTGATACTCGATGTGGACAGATTTCGGCTATGGCCTCTGCTATGAGTCCCCTGACTGCCACCCGTACCAGCCCTGGCTCGACCCTGCGGCCGCACTCGATCAGTTCGAATTTGACGCTGAAACCGGGTTCCGGTAGCTGCGAGCGAGTCGCCCGGAATCTCCTCATTCACATGGACTGTTTGAGCATGCTGCCGCAGGTTATCAAGCCGGGAAAATCGTCGCGAGCAATGACATTGGAATGGACGTTCCCCAGTATGTTTCCGAATATGCCTAGCGAGATGCTCACTTCGGGTAAAGCTCAGATTACAAGGCGGGTAATCTGTGCAGTAGAACCGTTGTCCTTTTTTCTTCTTTGACGGGGGAGCATCACCTTTGTGGTCCGAGTCATGGTCCGACCCATCACGATCACCCTCCGAGTCCCCGTGCGATGCCTCCTCGGATACTGACAGCCCACTCCCTTGCGAGCCTGCGGGTTGAGAAGTATGGTCAGGGTTGTTTACATTTCGGGGCGTACTGCCGTCGTTTTCCATATCCGCCATTTTCGCGGCGTCTTGCGCCTCCGGTGCGTTAGTTAGATGGGCTCGAGGTGTGGTCGGTGGCGTCGCCTCTTCCATCACACGGTCTTGCGGCGACGAAATATTATTCACAGGTAAGAATGATGACATATTGACACAGGCGCCGAATTAGGGTTTCTATGTACTAATCGACAAGGGGGTTATTCAGGTGACCCTCGGCCCATTAAATACGATATGTTTCAGCTAAAATGGTTGGGGTTTCCGAGAGTTGAGAAAACGCGGTGTCGTTCCCACGGAGCTGACTACTGAACCGATTTGCGCAACTCCTGTCAGCATGTGGGCCGTACACTCGATATCGAGAGGAACGAGCAAGGGCGCTGAGCCGATGGGGTGGTGGCTTCTTTATTGCTTGGTGTGAAAACTTACGGATGGATATTTTTCCTTATTCCAAATCCGGCCCAGGGATGAGATGAAGAGGGAGGGAGAGGGAAGTGGAATGTAGCAAAAGGCTGATGATGATTGTTTTTAGCCGAATGCCCAACGATGATGGCGAAGCAAGGGTAGGTAGGTTGTACGCGGTAGGTGGCAGAGCACAACCATTAACATCGAGGACACATTTCTTGCAGACGTGCCTGGTCAGGAAGACGCTAAACGTTGGACCGGAAAGATGACGAGAAAGAGGGAAGTGGATGTAGGGTAGTGAAGGAGAGAAGCGGTATTCAAGAGAGAGAAGTTCGGTCGACTCGAAGAGTTTCAGACGAGTCGCCGAGTACAGGTTGTGGGTATGACAATCCCCCAGTCAAAACTTGAACTAAAATAAATTAAAGATAAAAAAAAAAAAAATTCAACTCAAGAGTGATCTGGTTCGCAGGGTTTTGATCGGCCCGGGGAAAGGGAGGCAAATGGAACAAAAAAAAAAAAATAAGAAAAGGGCCCGGTAGAATAACTCAGGAAATATGACGTGTAGGCGGTGGATGTACAGGCACCAGGGCCAGGAGATAGATACAGAAGAAGTATAATAATTGAGGTAAGATATGGAAAGACCACGAAATACCGATCTGAGACGGGATGAAAGGTGAAAGAAAAGGAAGAGAGCGACACAGGAAGAAGATGCGCGGTGAGAGATGAGCGACAGTAGAAGTAATAGAAATCGATTATGTTAGATGGCGGTAATCCACTCGCTGAGTGGTGACGACGATACAGACAGGAAGGGGAATTGGGAAAGGATGAGGAGAGAGACGGAGGAGTTAAAGTGTAAGGAAGGGGAAAAAAAAGTGTAAGCGCGTGTAAAATAAAAAATAAAAAATAAAAAAGAAGAAAAACAAAATATTAAAAAAAATAATAATAATAATAAAAATAAAAAAAATGGAGCCAACTCAAAGGTGCCCCCCGTAGGTACTCACTCACACTTGTCTTAACTAGAGGCTTATCGGAAACAACGGTCGGCGGCGAAACGAGGGGCAAGAAGGAGGGGGAGAATGAACCATAAGTCTGGATTAATTATAGTTACAGAGCTAGCACTAGTAAGTATGGGCGTTACTACTTCAATCGCCCCGTTTGAATGGTTCAAAGGGAATGCAAAGTGGATTTGAAAGGGTAAGGTCAAGTCTTGTAGCAGCGTGGTAGCAGCGCCAACTTTTGGAGTCCTGACGGTATTGCCGTTACCACCTCAATACCAAAACTTGATGATGGTCAGTACCTTTCATCAACATCATCACTAGGGAGAAGGAAGTACTTGGACGATGTACTAACCATAGAAAGAAGAGTTCGGCTGGGACTGGAGAATGAACTCACCAGTGATATAATATACTTACAGAGTAACAGGTGAAGTAAACTTTACTTAGTTCCAGGTACTGACGACTCGATCCGGACGAACCGACGCGAATCAGCGACTCGAACAGCTGTGGAGTTCTCCATACGAGCGATACCTTTTTTTACTTTCACTGCTGGAAAGAGGGACGTAATGAATGTGGAATAGTTTCCTTCAAGCGTCCACAGCTGGCTGGTTCTGTGAGATCAATTCGCTGTTGGGGAATTATCGGGAATCCAGCACTCGAGCTATAAATAATCCGTCTGACCTATCGGTTTTATCCATATCATCTAACCTACGTCCAAATCATGTATCCCAATATAGAATGGTATTGGTTCCGGTACGAGGCGGTATCAGGAACCCCGGGATTTTACTGTTGCTGAACGATTCCGGGCTGTGGTCAGCCGGGGCGAACTCAAGAGGTGAAATCTTGTCAACGTAGTAGGTCCTAGTAATTCATAAGGCTGGTTGGCGGTGGGGAGTAAGGGTAATCGAGAGCGAGTCTCGAACCTGATGGTCACAATCGTACCATGGGTCTAGCCTTTCCAGGGTCCAGAGGCGTTCACACCCTCTGTCCATGAAGGTAAAGGCACCAGGAACTTGCTTCGCTACAGAAGAAAGATATGAAGGGGAGAAACAATAAGCGGGTGAGATATCCCTAAGAAATGCTGGGGATGAACCGTGGCGTGGTTTCTTGTGTTTCATGAATCATGATCTGGATCATAGAGGAGGTCTTGACCAGTAACCAGAGAAACCGAACGGCGCCGACTGGTCTGTTGGACTTGGTGACGTCCACCATTCGAAGTCTATATCATGGTAACTTTAACCCCATCGATATAAGGGTAAAACCTTCCCCCAATGGCCTTTCGGTAACCAAACCATCAGTTAGCCTGGGAACTAATTCATGATCTGGTCGACGAAGTGTGCATGGTAAACTCTTCGGGGCCATGGTTCTCCACGGCCTCGCACCCATAGTTCGGAGTATACCTGAGTTTCCGCTCTCACTTCCTGAACTCAGGTTAGCCCTAGTAGACTGATCAAGTAAGAGACAATACAGCGGCATACCGCTCAGATTGTCCAGGCGATCCCAGCATCCGACCGCGTCAGCAATCCCAATGCGTATGGCTTGATTGTCAAATAGCCTGGGGCCGCTGAACAATGGCCATACGAATGGCATGGTTCCGATCCTTCCACTGATCCAAGCGATAGGCGCTGGAATTCCCCGTACGATCCTTCGGCAGCCCGAGCACATGCTATGCAGAAGAGATAGTCCACATTTTGCAGGTACCTTACATTTAGGGCATTGTTTTCCATAACACGACTACGAATATAGATGAGTTGATAAGGCTTAGGCGTAATGGACTTTTTAACTAGTTAGTATATTTAAATATTAGTCATACTCTTGCCCCGATGACCTAGTAGTATGATTCTTACTTTAAGCTAGCTGAACAGTATTATCTGTGAGCGGTCCCGTGTTTGCGGTTCAGACCCTCAGCTTTTTCCCTCTTTTCTCGTCATGTTTATTTCTCTTTTATTAAAATATATATATATATATATAATGAAGAAAAGCCACCCCTCCTCCCTTTGTCTCTGCATATCTTGTTAATCTTTCAAATTATTTCTGGATTTTGTTTTATTCCTGAGATGAACGCAGGAAGGCTGGGACTGGAAACCGCCACTGCCGTATATTGAGCGTGGGAAAAGTCCAACCCAAGATCTTCCATCTCTGTCAAAGTTTCATGAGAGTTTGGGAATACAAAATCTAGAGTGAGCAGTTCTAATTCTAATTCCCATCTCTATGCGTTGACACAAAAGAAGAGGATGGTCTGATAGCTGCAAACGGCCATGGGAAACAGTGGAAGCTTCCATCAGTTCCCCTCCATCGATGACATCTACCTGATGCAGTCCGGCAGCCAATTGGCAACATGGAACAACCAAGATAATGCTGAAACGCCGGCGTTTCTGCACGCCACAGAATACAGCGATGATGTGCTTCATTGTTAAATCATAATGAGCGAAGGGAAGGCGTTGAAGAACATCCCTGCTACCGGGAATGATGCCCCTGTTCGGTTGTCTACTTTAGGTGTCGAGTGCATAGAACATCCAGCAATGACCGCCTGTCGAATGTATTCTATTTAGGTTCCCTGCTAGTACCAGGTAAGTAACTTACTGGACTACCCGACCATCAGTTAACGGGGCGAGTAAGGTTACTAAGAGATCATCTAGTGTATAACGCGGACAGTGCATTAGTTCGAAAAACACCCTCCTTCCGCATCCTATTGGACCAGCCCATGATCCGATCGTGGAGGTACCTTACCTCCTTCCAAGGACCCTAACCTTGCTAAGGAAATTGCTCAAGGCCTAAGAGGAAAAAAAAAAAGGAAAGAAAAAAGAATGTGGTTATAAATCAGAGGAAGTTTCGTCCCTCCGTCTTCCAAGACCAATCCACATCAGTGAAGTGGCGGACAGAATTCCGGTGCGGAGGGGCTGATCGACGTGGCCGTCAACCAAACAGCACATCCGTCAATAGCTTCCTATGAGAGATACTTCGTTTAGCCCCTCATTGTATCCAAATCCCTAAAAGGGACTGGGCCAAGGGGCATTGACGCCACCACCATCGTCGAGGAGGGGAAAAGTTTACGTGGAGGGGTGCCCGTATCAGAGTTTCGTCGTCTCCTCTGACCTTTTTTTTTGGATCCATCGAAAATGTCTTTTGATTCGCTTCTCTCGTTTGGTCCCCTTTCATTTTGTTCAACACTTTGTTTATTAAAATCATTTAATCTACGGATTAAAGTTGACAGGGATGATGATATCTAAACGAATATCGAGAATCTGGAAAGATACGGTATGTATGGTCATGGAAGGAGAAAGTTCCTTATCAGCCCGTTTCTTAAATCTGGAGCGGGGTAAGAAGTCCCAGCTCTGTGGATGTCGCGCACGGCCTTTGCCTACTTTAAGTCCCTTAATTATTTATAGTCTGGGATAGAGTAGGTACACCGCAGGTACCTGCTCTAGTCGTTCGGTACTAGTTGGTACCCAGTCCTAGTAGGGAATCGGTACCTACTTGGTTGTACTCTGTAGGTACCCAAGTCACTGGAGAGGCATAGTACTATCAGTTTTGTACCTGATTGACGCATTAACTATGCTAATAATCTCGGATCTTACGTATACACACCCCCAGATGAGACACCCCAAGACAATGTCTTGACGTCGTCCAATTCAAGAAAGATCGTGAGTCAAATCAGGCCACGGTCTATACGAACCGGACCTGAGCAAAGAATGTTTCCAGTCCCATAAAGTTTCAGATACGGAGCCAGTGGCGCCTCAGCTCCCTCCATCTAATTCCAGGTACCTGGAGACATCAAGATGACTGTCCACTTGTACCTGTCTCCTAACACAAACCCAGTCACGCAATCTTAACAGCAAATAAGGGAATCTACTATGATGTGGCAGCCGACCTGACTCATGATCATGCAAATCATCCTGCATAAACTCACCTGCACCCATCGACACATGTGGCGAAAATGCGGCGTAGCGCCCGAAACTAACCGCTGGACAGTTCACCAAAAAGAAATTGATTCGTTGGCATCCCTATCTGTATGGCTGGCTTTTTGCTGACGGATGCGTGGATGGATTGCGAATCGCTGAGGCTGACACACGGTACAGATATAGGCCGGGTTGTGTCCCCTTGCTGTTTCTGACACATCTTTATTACTTTTTATGATTACAATCCTGACGATCTTCGTTTTTATGCCGAACGATTGATATTTCGCCCGTTTTGATCAGCTGATCCCGAGTTATTTATGTGTACCTGAGTTTTCTGGTTGGCAGGTTGCGGGAAAATATCATATGTTAAATGTGAATCTATGTATCTGTGCTTATGCTCTGGTCTGTGCGAACAACTTGAGGCGTCAGATGTACGCGTTGCCTCTGCGGTTTTGGCTTTTCCGCCTTGAACCTATCAGGATGATCTTGGCTCGGGGTATAGATGTACGTATTTATGTATGTACATACGCTAGGAGGTAAGTATATATGTACAACCGTTGTTCGAGTGTAATGTAGATTTTTTTTATCTCGGATGTTAAGCTATTTTGCCAAGGGGTTTTTTTTTTTTTTTTTTTAAATAAGACAGCCTTATCTGTCTAGGATACTGGCCACGGCACTAACCATCACCGCTGCTTCTCGTTCCCAGTTTCCTTTCGTTCCGGACTCGATTCCCATCCGTCCTTTGTCGGTCGATGCTGGGAGTTGAGATCCCCGGAGAACACACTCTTTGATGTCCTTCTTAAGGCGGTCCCGGTTAGATCGGAGGGTCCTTGCTGAGACACCGCCACGGTTGATAATCTCCTGGACGCGCGAGGTGAGGGACGAAGCGAGGGAGCGCCAGAAGTGGGATGGGAGGGAAGATGCGTCGAGGGCGCTGAGCAGTGGTTGCAGGAGGTTATTTTTATTACCACCCTGTGGCTGGGTCTCGGGGGTAGGAGCTGGGGGGAAAAGTGGATGTAATGGCGGTCGAAGGCCAGCGAGGATAGATTCCAGCGCAAAGAGATCCTGACATTTGGCCGAGATCTCGGCGAGGGTTTTTTCGAGCGTGGGCAGCATGGACAGGGACCGGGATAGGGCGTTCAGGGACGACATGATGGCTGTGTGCACGTAGCCTTGCAAAGTGGAGAGGAGGAGCTCGGGTTGGAAGTCCAATGCCGAAGATAGGTCCTTGGGGATCGGAGAGAGGAGGTACAGGATTGTGGTGGCGGAGCTGAGTCGTGCTCGTGCATCGCGAGCTTGTTTGTAGCCTGACTGGGCAGACATGGTGAACCGATTGATCGCCTGCTGCGCTCTCGATTTCACCATGTTTTCGGCCGGGATGAGCAGTTCGCTCCGTAGAGTCCGGATGACCTTGACTTTGTCTAGTCCGTGACCTTCCTCTCCTGGACCCGTGACCGTGAACATCCGACGGAGACTCACGATCGTAGACGCTGCGCGTTCCAGAGCGCGGTAATCATCTCTACCCGGAGATGGGGACGCCGTTCCATCACTACGGCCAGTAACCTCAGCAAGCTGGCCTTCCAGCTGTCTGCCGAGAGTGAGACAGCGCGCAACTGCTCTTGCGAGCCGCACGGTAGCGAGCGACTTCTCTGTAGCTATCCTCACCTCGTCGGCAGCTTCCCACTTCCGTAGGACCTCTTTCTCCAGCCGCTCGTACCCCTGGGTCACGGAGGAGACCTGTTCCTCTGCTTCCTTGAGGATGTGGCCTGCCGCGGCGGTTTGATCCCGCGTGTGCGTCAGCAAGGGGAGGGCAGACTTGGTGGTCAGCGTGTGAATATGCGTGTCGATCTCTTGTAGATCGAAGAGCACCCGTGACAGCGGGGTTGACAGATCTAGCGGTGTATCTGTCGCATTGTTGGTTGCTACGACCAATGAGTTGGCAAAGGAGGCGGGAGAGAAGTCGGGGTCCAAGAAGACCTCATAGTCAATGTATGATGGTTCGCCTTCTGCCATGATTGGGTCTGACTAGGTCCCAGTAGCTTGTATTCTCCCAAGTAATAACTGTCGTCAAGGTCGATTCAATATAAGACCAGATAAGAAGAGCACAGATTAGGTAGATAAAAAGCTAATGGCGAGTTTGGGTATCGTATTAGATAAAGATTGGCTGGGTAAAACAACGTGTTTTCTCCGAAACACTTTCACACGGCAGAAACTCAGTACAGTATGCTAGCCATGCGACCGATCCAGTATATCGAGGCCTCTAAACCCGGTCATAGTCAACCAATTGCTTGCGGAGAGAGATCGAGTATGCGATGTTGCTGATCCGCTCGGAGGTCCATTCATGCCATGTGTCGAGACTATGCCTCTTTGGTCGCGGATTAGTCAGCCATCTGTATAGTTCTGTCTCAAAGGGATGGATGTCTTCTACCGCGTATGTATAATTGTGTATATATATATAAGAGAGATTCTATGATTTAGTTGTGTAGGTTATGCGGAGATATGAAAAATTGGGTCTTCTGAAAGCAATCATCATTGGTGGGAATGGGAAAATGCGGTACCCAGAATTTTATATATTTTCGACTACTAGTACCGGTCCCAGCGTTCCTACATTCTCGGCCATGCTTTAGGGGATTTAGTGGTAATGATATTATGGCAATGTAGGGGCTCTATTCTTGACCATGTATAAACCTGGGACATCACACCCTAGCGAGGAATCAGACTAAACATGAAGCCTAGCTTAGGAAGGCAAAGAGGGATTGCGCATGCCAACGGCGCAACGCGACATGAAAGCGTAAAACAGAAAAGTGATATCATGACAAACCCCAAACCGCTCTAAGAAATATATGTACACATTATGTATAAGAATATATAAAGGTTTTATAATTACACCGAATGAATGTCGTTCGCTCCACCTGTCACCGATCTGGGAGCTGCGCCGGTAACTCGTGAACTGGCGCATTAGGCCGACTCTCCAGTTCATACCGGGTTCCCTGCCCATCCACTTCAACGGGCTGACTTGATATGTATTTGTAGTCATGAATTGGTGTATTTCCGTCTTGTATAGGCGCCGGCTGAGGCCGTGACCGGCGCCTCATGAAAAGCCAAATGAAAGCTGCAATCAGTGCTACACCGGCGACGCCACCGATGACGCCACCTGCGACTGCACCCTTACTTACACCTGACGAAGAGGATGAGGAAGAGGATGTCTGTGTGGTTGCTGCGGAGGTAGCTGTAGTTGATGTTGTTGTGGATGTTGTGGATATTTCAGAGGTTGCAGATGTTGGTGAAGGTAGTGCCACTGTTACGTACATTTATTAGCATTGAGATACACCTTAGCGTCCACATAGAATAGACAGATATATAATATGGTGTGCGTAGGCAACGTACCTGTACCTGAAGAGATAACCTTTAACCTTGTGTCCTGATCACCAAATGAGTAACCTGTGCCGGCACAGCCATCATATTGTCCAGCCAGCGCGAATCCTATCGTGTCGTGTGGACAGCAAAAGTACCCTCCGTTGTCATACAGATCCCATGTTGCATTCGCACACCTCGGTTCCTGCACCAACGACTCCGTGCAGTTTTTTCCGGCTGGGCAACAATCGATATTGTAAGCGTGAGGACAGAATGTACCTCCCGGGCAGCAGCCGCGAAACCCGCCAACTGTTTCACCGCAGTCATTCTCGGTTCGAAGGCAGGAACCGTTCTTACGGACAGCAAAACCGGTAGTCATCTTGGCCCTAATTTTTCGTTTACTAGGGAAAGGAAGGAAGGTATGTCGGTGGGATAAGAATAAACGAAGAAATTCGGGGAACGAAGAAAAAGGAAATGAGCGGCACCAGGGAAATAGTGTCCTTGTGGCCCAACTGTCAATGGAGAACCCACATTATCTGATATGCAGTAAGCAATGCCATTTATCATTGGAAGAGTGATGTCGTGCCAATGGACTAAGGGATGGGTATATTAAGATCTTCCAGGGTTTCGGGGGGTTCAGCGACCAGTCACCAATCTACGCTAGTACCCTGGTCCCTGAGAGACCGGGGCTGTGAGCACTAAATGATTCCCAGTGGATGTGTTATGGAAGTTTAACATCGTTTAAAGGAGACCCTTGTTTCAATAAGGCAGTGATAGTCATGATTATTGGGTGGATGTAAAAACGAATGGGGTTTTAGGGCACGGCCTAGAGGCTAGTGATGGGGGCCGTTTCAGCCACAGGCAATTTCGATAGAGTAATCTCAAGGACTTTCTTAAGAATAGGTTCGTAGCCTCAAGTAATTACGTTGGAGGGTGTTGCTTCATTGCTGTATCATTTCCTCTCCCATCACAGAAGAACTCGTCCGTTGGTCTCCTCTACGATGAGGTCGAACTCAGGTTGGAATTCGGTATAAAAATGATGCTGTGATGGTCAGTCAGCACATGCTCATCCAAGATTGTCGCAACAGGAAAGCCATACCGGTGTCTGGACCGCATTGGCCGTGTACTGAGCCACTTCATCATTGATGATCTTCTTTGGTACGCCATTGGCAGCAGCCGCCTCGGCCATCAGCTGAGAATGACACGCATGATCCAAGCTGGAAAGAAGAAAGGCTGCTTCATCTACTGTGCGACCTACGGTTAACAAACTGCGTACATCGTCAGCTGGCGTGTACAACAAACATGGGGACTAGAAGCAGGGGATACCCATGGTTTTGCAAAATGCAAGCTATCTTGTCCTCCCCCAAGGCCTTGGCGATTTGCTGCCCCTCTGCCTGAGCCAACGCAATTCCACCATGGTCAATATAGACACCTAGTTTCCCATAGAAGTTACATGCGTCTACACCCGTCAATCACTTTTGCCATATAAAAAGAATCCATACAAACTGTGGAAGGGCATCATACCTTGAGTGATCATCTCGATCCCCTTCCCAAATGCGCTCCACGTCTTTCCGTAAACTCCATGCGTATGCGCAGCAGCAACAACATCCGGTCTGGCTTTATGGATCTCTGAATGGATCATGAATCCGGCCTCATTGATGGGTGCCTGATTGCCCCCTTCTGTCACATAGCCATCTTGGTCGACAAGGACGAGATCGGAGGCTTTCATGGCAGAGAAATGCTTAGCGTAAGGGTTCATCCAGAAATGGTCCTTCAAGACAGGGTCTGTGGGATACTGTTAGTATAGTACTTGTGTTTCTACTAGCACGGATAAATATATAGCACTCACCTCTCATGGAGATGTGTCCAGAAATACCCTCGCCGTGTCCATGCTTTCCGAAGAAACGGAACGCGGCCGCCATGTGCTCTTTCATCCATTTACGCTTCTCATAGAGGTCTGTGAATACTGGAATTCCTGGTAGTTTGAGCGTTCCATTACGATCGCCGCGGGCAGTTGCTTGGAAAATGGCGTCCTCGACTGCAGGCTTCACATTCAAGTTACTGTAGTCTGTAGAGGCAACGACTACCTTCTGCTGGGCAGTGGTTTCGGTTGCTGTTGAAGTTGACATAGTGGTTTAGATATATTTTCTATGTTGAAAACAAAATCGAAGTCGATGAAGTAACCACTGGAATCTCTATTCGAGACAGTGCTGGGGATATTTATCTCCACCTTCAAGTCTTATCAGTTGAGGTGGAATGTGGCGCCCCCACCTCTAGATAAATGAACCTCGAATCGTTTGGTTTGATTGACCGGAAACGCCAGTTCAGAGCGGATACTATAGGCGCATATCGCCGATCGTACGGACTTTTGCCCGACAAGACTAATGTTCGTAGAAGGCGCATTTTTGTTCTTCCCTGGGTCATAATCGGGTCGATTTGATACTATCCGGTAGTAGTAAATACTATCTATATAATTGAGACGCCCATGTCGCTATGACATGACGCCATCCCGAATAGCCATAAACATCCAACAACAGGATATTAAGTACCAATGTGCCTGCACAAGTTCAAAAAATGTCGCCAGAATGTAAGATCATGGAATCAACACTGCAGTAAGATGAGAGGATGACACTCGAACCAGAACGCCATCTATACAGGTGCCAACCAGCTAGGGTATACAGAAAATTGTAAACATATCAAAATCCGCATGCAAGTCGGCCATGAATCAACGTCAAAAATGAAAATGAAAAAAACGGGGAAAAAGGAGAATACAACCGAAGAAAGAAAGACCCAAGAAGAAGCTATACCGCTTGCTCACCAACCCCCTTCATTTCAGCCATCTCATACTCGCCACCGTCACCCTGCAGGCTGCGTTCCCGACCTCTTCCTCGGGATGGACTGGCTCTATCACCCGGCGGCTGCGATGAACTTCCAGACGACTGTCCAGTACCGGTACCAGCTATACCGCCAAAGCTAATCGGTCTGAGTTCCCGCCATTGACAGGCCCAGATACCACCAAAGGTCATTAGAGAAGCGCTGGCAAACTGAAGACCCCACCAAAGCAGGTTGGAGGGGATAGAGTGGGTGTAAAGGGACGTCGCGAGAAGATGGAGCAAATGGATAGTAAGAGCGAAGTCAGGAATGAGTTTGGACCGAACGACGAGGAGTAAAAGAAAGATTATCCTGTGAGAGTTTGGTTAGCGGTGCAGCCCTTTTATTGAAAGCAAGGAAGATGGGTACTAGTAGCTCACCCCGCAAGACTATTTAACATCCACACCAACCCCAGCATCCATCCAATCGTGGTATCCCCCCTCAGCGAGTCCCAACTCAGAACTAAGTCTATGGAGAACTGGGTGCCATAGACGAGGGTGGTAAATAAGATCAGGGCTGTCGCAGAGGCATAATAGGCAAGCTGTAAGATAACAATTTTCCGTACGATCTTCAGCGGCGGGAGGTCTGTCCGAGTCCCCGCAGGAGGCCGTCGGCGCGGGGGCATGAAATATGTGGTAACTTTTGCACACTAATTAGAAACTCCAAGGGATATTTCACGGTGAGAAGAACCGGTGAGATGGTGAGTTCTGGCCCGCGGAAGCACCGAGCATATACCCGAGGCCTTTCTTTTCTGGGGATTCTTCCGTCGCTAGGTATGGAGGGACTGCGAGTGGATAAGACTAATCGCGTCGCAAATAGATTAAGACCGTAATGAGGAAGCGATGGTCTGTTGGGACATCGTCTGATGGGGAGAACTGAAGAAGAAGTTGGTTCCAGGTTAAGTTACTGTGGCGCCACGAGCAGAGCCGCCAAGCGTGGCAGAAAGGGAACGCAGATCATGCCAAATAGGAAGCGCATCTCTTAACTACGTATTAGCATATTTACTTCTTGCGACGGGACTGTTTAGCCTGCTTTTGTTATTACCACGATTCATATTTCACTCTTGATTCCAATCCCTTCCTCGCATCCCTCTCCCTTCCAACCGTCACTCGCAAAAGGACCCCAATCACAATGGGCTGGTTACCCTGGTCCTCCGACTCGAAAAATACCGCTTCCGATGGAGGCCGCATAGCCCCCGATCGGTCCTCTCGACAAAAGTGCTGGGAGGGTCGCGACTTGTTTTTCTCCTGCCTAGACGACAATAATATTCTGGACGCAATCAAGGAGGATAAGGAAGCGCGACGGAAATGTGGGAAGGAGATTGCGGAGTTTGAGTCGGCTTGTTCAAAGGCTTGGGTATGTTGCCGCATCTCAGTTTCGCCTGCTATAATGAGGGTCCGCTGGACGTGACTCGACTCTCTTCTCTCTCTAGCTACCCAGTCGTCGCCCCTTATAGCGATCTGTGGCTTGCATTGTCTACATCCTTTACGATTGCTGATGATCAAAAAAAAAAACAGGTCAAATATTTCAAGGAAAAGCGGGTAATGGAATACAACCGAGACAAGACAATTGAGCGGATCAAGAAGGAAGATGCGGCCAAGGTCCAGGATTTGAAGGCACAGGGATGGAACCCTCGGTAAAATGGTCAGCCACTTTATTGGGAGGGACAACAGGAAGAGAACGGGAGGGATTGATTCCAAGCCAAAAGGCTGTGTACTACATACTACTACTACTACTACTACTATCAAAAGCTATGCCACTCCAATCTTAATAATTTCCCGGGCCTTTACATATGCTCCACTTTATATCGTCTACCGAGAGAACTTCTTCAGGTTTAGATCATCACATACTCAATGTTAGTATTATTCGTCTTTGTCATTACTCCAGCTGACCGCTATGCGCCCTAGTGTATCACAAGTAACCGTCGGAGAAAACCATATAATCAACACCGCGACATAGATAAAAGACACCGTATTCCCATGAAGATCTATTTGTCCAGGTGTCCAGAGATTATAAGAATAGAAACGAAAAAAGAAAACCATTGCACTCCTGTCGCAGTTACAGCGTAAAAACTGAAGGAAAACGTAAATCAAAATCGACAACCAGGCCATATGATCGTTTCCGATGGCTGAAACCCCATGCCTTAGAAATACCTCAACCGATCGATCAAATTAACGCCATGCCCCATGATGTTCTGTAAAAGATGATAGAGCTCCGGAGAAAATATGTCAATGAAGAAAGATAGGAAAGAAGACGAGTCATAAATCATTGCTTCCACTTGCCCAATTGATTCATGATGTTCTGTACATGAGGACCAGCGGTTGCCTGATTTTGCGCCTGCTGTCCTCCCAAGCCCTTGGCTAGTAGTGATATTAAGTTGGGATCAGACACCACTGGAGCATTAGGTGCTTGGATTGGGAACGGTTGCGGAGGGAGAGGGTGTTGTGGGTTGGTGGGAACAGGCTGTCGTGTGGCTGCACTCAAAAGGCTGGCGAGATCAGCACCTGCATTGGGTGTTGATGCTGTGGTAGAAAATGGTTGTTGCGCAGTTGGGACGGCTGATTGCCGCTGCTGGAGCGCACCCAAAAGAGACTGGAGAGTAGGACCGTCGAGGGACGTGATTAGGTTGGCGATGTTTGGGGGATTAGAAAGAGCTGGCAATGGGGCCTGCGGCATAGGCGGGGGCGCCAGGGGAGGAACCCCAAAGGCTGGGTTGGGAGGGAATGGAGTAGGAGGCGCGCCGCGCTGCACTGACTGCGCGTGGAAGACGATCTCAGCGGCAATATTCGGCTCAACATCGGGATACTCTGGCGAGCGATTAGCGGGCTAGGCCTGCGTAAACAGACTATTTGGATAGCAAGCGAAACACTTACCATTAAATCGAACGTTGTCTGCACCCCCGCTTCGATCGAATACCTGCAGAGGAATCTTCCTGGAGAACTGGTTTGGACGGGCGAGCCTCACCACTGCCAGCACACCTTCGCTGATCTGCCGTTGAACGGCCGCGTTCAGCGGGATTCGGGGACCCAACACCAAAACATCGACTCGAAGACCTCTATTGCGGAATGCATTTTCCACATGGAAGATAAAGTTTCTAACAATCTGATTAGCAAGAGTCATATGGCAAACTGTTATAACGCAAAACTAACCGGTCGACCTCCTCCAAGACGAGAATTTGCACCTCCGGAACATCTCTTGGGGCCCGTCTGGGCACTGGCAACTCTACATCGCCTTCATAACCGCGGGCCCGTGGACTGGGGGTACGGTATCTTCGGTCCCTTGCATAGGGGGACCGGGACCGGCGTCGTTCCCGTCGATCATACCGCTCTGGGGTTCTATCCCGGGACCGGTATCCGTCCCTTCCGCGAAAGCCACGCGGGGACGGGGATCGGGGCGGAGGCCGATAGTCATCGCGCCTACGGTGAGTAGGCTCATCTCTAAAATCGCTGAATGGAATCCTCGGAGATTCGTATGGTCGATCGTAGCGATCCGTAGGAGCTCTAGGGTTGCGACTGCTCGGCGGGCCCCCTCTGCTGTATTCGGGAGACCTCGAACGCCTAGCCGGTGGAGCGCGGGAAGGCTCCGCAGGAGCTGGGCCAGGCCTCGTATTTCTCTGTGGCTTGGATATTTCAAGGTCTACAATGTTCCATTAGTCTGACCGAGCAATTTGATAAGTCTAGAAGGCTGACACTTACGAACTTTGCGTCCTCTCACCACAGCTCCTTGCTCTACATCGAGCGCTTGCTTGCAGGCTGGGGCCTCCAGAAATTGTATGAAGCCGTACGCCTGCTTGATAGATATCTGCGCTAATTTCCCGTACTTGTGAAATATATGAAACAGATCTCGCTTGGTCACTCGTTCCGTTGGAAGGTTGCCTGTTATTGTTGGGAACCCCAAACGTTAGTTACTCCACCGCCAGGGTCCAAAATGAGATCTGCAATACTAACCGACAAATAGCCTGGATCCCGCTGGGAAACGATCCCAGAGCCCTTCTGTGACATATACCCTCTCGTCATGCAGAAACTCGTCATATTTCTTTTGTACATCTGGTCCCCAAGGGGCATCATCATCGGCGCTTTTAGATTGCCGACCCTGCTGTTTATCCACGCGCCCAGATTTATTGGACACCGGGGAGGAAGGTGCCTGCGCCTCCGCCGTGGCCGGCGGGGACTGCTGGAAACTAGCCACGGGGGGAGGGGGCAGGCTACTGACGCCTGAGGTGGTCCCTGGAGCACCGGCAGCTGTCAAGGAAGGGAGTGCGGGGTTAGACTGGTAATTACTTTGCTGGGCAGTGTAGGAGGGCTGGGCGTTAGACGCATGAGGGGGGAGTTGATGATACGAGCGGATATCATCGCTGGGGTTATAATTGGGATGGATGGAAGGCTTCTCCTGGGGTGGGGGACGAGGAGGCAAGCCCAGGGAAGATTGGAGAGCTTCATCAGTTGCTTGAGGGTCCGCAGAGACATCTCCGAAAGGAACGGCCTCAGATACTGCAGGGGCAGAAGGAGCGGCAGTGGAGGAAGGGGGGAGATTATCGAGGAGGTTCTGGAAGTCCACACCATCCTCGCCAGTGTTATGTGGCTTGTTGCGGGTGTCTAAGCGATCCTGTGGAGCCGACGAAGCTGCCCAGGAGGAGGCTGCATGGTCTATTTCGCTCGCAATGGGAATGCTTTGAGGAGCATGGGGGGCAGAGGGAGGGAGATCGGGGAAAGGGTGATGAGTTATATGGGTGGCGGAATCTGATGGAGGAACAGTGGTTAGAGATGAGTTTGGTTTGGAACCCTGCTCAGCAGAGGTGGTCGCAGTGGCTATGGAAGAAGCATATGCAAATTGGTCTGATGGCAGCGACGCATGGGAAGACACAACCGCGTTCTTGTTCATCGAACCATCATCCGCCTGAAATGCACCAGAGTGGTGGTAGCTACCTTGTGTTTGAGTTTGGAAGTGTCCCGAAGCCTGCACGGAGCCATAGTTTCCTTGCACACCCCTCGACCCAGCATAATGGGCATATTGGGATGGCAGATCAGCATGCAGCTGGGCGCAGTGTTCAAAAGCAGACTCGGACTTTTCATAAGTCGAAGTATCGTTGAAGACGGGGTCCATTTGATTCTGAAGCACCGGAATATTGGCTGGTTCCGCGATGTGTAGCGGACGAGGGCTCTCGGGAGTCAGGGTCTTGCCTCGAAAGTGAAGAGCTTCATCTGGGGAACTGGGCGTCATGTAGACCAAGGATGAAGAATTGATTCATCTACAAAACCATGCGAAAAAAAGGTCCCAAGGGCCACAGGGGATTAGGGATTTTCCAAAATCGACCAAGCTAGGGTGGGGCTAATCTTGGGAAAAAAAGAACCGGGCCGTTTGGGAGCTCCGGTGGGCGGTAAAGGGAGGATAGAGATGAAAATTCAATGAGAGGAAGGAGAAGCACCACGGGGAGGGAAGAGGAACTGGCTGTTTGATCTGTTTGACGAATAGTAAAACCAAGCAGACGGACACTCCCAATAAGCACAAGACAAACAGAAGGCAGGGAGGAGAAACCGAGCGAGGCCGATAAGGAATAATAATGATAAAATAACAAGGATAAGGCCCGGGTAGGTATATAAAACAAGGCAGGGAGGGAAAAACAAAAGCTCGGACGTATGTAATGGAAAGATCTAGTAAGTATTGAAATGACAGTCCGAGGGGTAAGCCCAGCACTATGTAGTATGATGAGCAGACGAGAGAAGGATTCTTCCGTCAATCCTTGATAATTAGTCAACAATTGTACTATTAGACGACGCCAGAGTTAGTAGATGGGGAAGTTGGTGGTAGTGTACAGTAGTTAGTAGTACAGTAGGGAGGGGAGGGGATCGAGAGGGGCGTGGTGGGAACGAGGGCAAGTGACTTGAAAAAAAAAAACAGAGCTAATGTACTCTGGGAGGGGTGACCAGGGTAACTGGTGAAGATCCCTCTTTTAGTTGAAAACACACACACACAAAAATATATTAATTAGTTCAAAATGGGGTCGAGGTGTGGGAGGGTAAAAGGGAAAAAAAAAAAAAAAACCGCATGGCATTGGAAGATTTCCCATGTTGTAAAGTTACGGTTTGCGCACGTCAGCTTTACAATGCTGCACAAACTTTACGAGCCTTTCCCCATCGGGTAGGGCGTTAGCGCACAAGGTCTCCTCATGCCGACGGTATGACTGGATGGTTCGATTGCCAGCCAGTCTTAGTGGCGGGTCAAGTCATGCTCTCGATGATTTCCCCTGGAACTGCTCGAAAGTTCCTTCATCATTCGTCAAGGGAGTTATTCTTAGAGTCAGGTCCAGACCCTGGTAAGACCGGAGTATCTCCGTCTATACTATAGCTGAATTGAGCAACCGACACTGGTCAGCATTTGTTATATCCCATTTCTCCGAATTCTTATGTACCTGAAAGCTACCCAAGTTGTACAGCAGAGTGGATTACCTAAGGATCTTGATCTCCTAACCAAGCTACCACTTGGTGAGCACCATCTGAATGGGTTCTGTACCGATGGAAAGCCCGCGGAAGTGGACGGTACCCAGCTTCGAGAGGATACCCACCGCCTCACTTGACCTTCCCAATCGGCTATAGCGCCAAGTATCGGGTTCTTCAGTCCCAGTTAGAACTTAGCACAGCATCTTTCCCGGCAACTAACCTTGAAGCTAAGTCGGATTTCTAGAAGATCCCCATGCTTGTTACCGATTAGTATCTCATTCTTAATTCAATGTCCGAGTTGCAGGGATACCTACACTGGCTGCTCCGTACTACTATTACATCAACCACCCAGGAGAACATTACAAAAGAAACAAAGATAATCTACCGAAGCATATCAGAAAAGAATGGTCACGCTGCAGTTACGTCCTCGGACAGTTCATTGGTTCCCCCCTCTTCGTCCCTTATCCGCTCTCACCGCAAGAACGTTCGCTTCTAAACAAGCGGCCGCCACAGAACGCCTCCAAGACTCAAATGAGGATCTAGCCGCAGCTCGAAAATGGCTCACGGGACTCACTTCGAAAACTATACCACGCCATATTTGTGAAATTTCATTTAGTCGTTCCGGTGGTCCTGGGGGGCAGAACGTGAACAAGTCGGTCGACCTCGCGTAAATAACCTCCGATTGTGTCGAACTATCACTAACTGGACCTTGCGGATCTGAATAGGGTGAACTCAAAAGCTACTCTAAAAGTGCCTCTTCATTCTCTCTTACCGCTTGTGCCTCGAATCTTACACCGTTCACTACGATCATCACGATACTTCGCCGAGAGATCGCAGAGTCTAGTCATACAGTCGGAAGAGTCGCGGAAACAAGCCGCCAATGTGGAGTCGTGTTACGAGAAATTACATCAGTTACTTAAAGCTACTGCAACAGATGCCATTCCTGGGGAGACATCTCAGGAACAAAGAGACCGGGTACACAAATTGTACGTTTATGAATCGCTATATTTGCTTCGTTTCCTTTTTACAAACACCCCGAGAGGCTTCAAGCTCACGTTGTACAGGAGGAAGGCTGAAAACGAAGCCAGAATCAAGTCTAAGAAACTGCACAGCAGCAAAAAGAGCAATCGACGGGGTAGTAAATTTGATGAATGATTGGCGAAGAGCTAACTTTTATCTGAACCACCCATGTGCGATGATGAACTCCAATATGCGCCTTTGCATGACAGCGGAGAAGTAAACAGGTACGAACAATTAGAATAAACGAGGAGCCGCCAGCTCTTAAGGCTATAGCACACGCTCCGCATTGCGGACCGTGGCAGTAATAGCCTTTTGCAGAGATGGATCCAAACCTTCTGCGTTCTCCAAGGGCTGCAGCCAGTTAATAACCTCCTTTGCGACATTGGGGTTCTCGCGGTGCTCCTTCAACCGGGCAAAGGACGTAATCAAAGCCCGCGGAAAATCGGGTGACGTGGGCTGCACTCCGGTGGTAGGAAGTTTGATATAGCAGATTTGCGTATGATGACTGGTAGGACTGGACTGCTGCAGCGCATTGACAACATGCTCCAAGATTTTGCGTAAGCATGGCAAGTCAGGAAACTCCACGACCATGTCGAAGAACTCCCGTCCGAATTTGGCATCTTGTTCAAAGTTTTTCATTGCGGTATCAAAAATGGCCAAAGGGATAGCACCGCTCATTGCAGGTGTTGAGCGAAGATTCTCTAACGCCACTTGGTCCACTCCATTATTATCTCCAGCGCTCGGATTGATATCTTCACCGGTGATCTGTGGTAGCGCAATCATGTCGGCGTTAGGATCTTCAAAGGAAGCATCTGGCATCGGTTTCGGGGCTTCAATCTCTTTGTCAAGACCCAGGATGCGCTGCCGGGCAACAAGCTTGGCTGTATAGATCAATTCTAGCTTCGCGTAGTGAATCCATAGCTTCCTAGAGTTCTTGCAGAACCGTAGCCCACGTTGCATGTGGCTTCGCGACTGCGTCATATCTGCATGGTCATCCAAAGCATATTGCGCTGCATATATCCACAGATCCACATTTGTTGGGTGTAGTCGTAGGACATCGTCGAAGATCGTGGAAAGTTTTTTGAAAGCTTTCTGCGCCCTAGCATATTCAATGTATTGAATCCATAAACCAATATCGCCGTGGAATTTGCGAGTTGCGCGATCCAGGATGAAAAAAATCCGCCGCTGGCCAGAATATCCCGCACCGCGAATACCGAGTCGCTTCACCCTTTTGCGTCGGAGGGTGTCCAGGTTCATCTCGTATTCTGCATATCGTACAAAGTCGGAAGGTTGAGCACCGCGAGCATTGAGCTTGTGCTCAAAGTCCGACCGTTTCTTGATGATCGCTGTGATCTCATCCTACACAATGAAAACGTAGTTTAAGACCTCTGCATACTTTCAAGTGTTGTGCATTTTGAGGAAATACCTTGCTGAAAATTTTCTTTCTTTCATACTCTTTCAGTTCAGGTACTGACTTTTCTAGAAAGAAGCGTGCCTTATCAGTAGCGGCAGACATGGTTGCGATTGTCGTTGTTGCAGGATACCTCTGAGATCAAGCAGCCATCAATGGAGTGATAAAAAAAGTTGTCGGCATCCCGCAATCAAAAGCTCCGACCACGTCGGGTGCCTGTCCGCTTTCCTACTTCGGACTAGCGCTTATGTACACCCGCCAGTTACCGAGCCTCAGTTCCATTATCAATCCATCTCATGTTCATCTGGCTCAGGGGCTCCTGACCATTGCTGTCTGGATTTCTGTTTGTTAGTTTGCTCTTTCTTTTCATATTCTTATTACATTCCTGACACTCGTTTGTCTCCTTAATTGATATTCGTTCTCTTCACTTCCCTTGTTTCGTCGAGTGGCCGGAGACTGGTCCGCCTGTTCTCTTCGCTGCCATGGCACCCAAATTCAAAGATGGGGATGCCGTTGTAGCGGTTAGTCTTGGCTATATCAAGAATTGAGGTACTTTGGAGAGTCACTGAACAACTGCTAGGTTAATGGGAAATGGGTGTCTTGGGCGCACACAGTCGCTGCTTATGCGGCCTTCTTGAGTGCCTTGGTAGTAGGAATGTCGCTGCATTTCAGGAAAATCGTGCAAAACGAACATTACGGCTATCCTGACGAATGGTTTCCGTCGGTATCAGCAACGATCGGTGATCGCTATCCGGAACGATCGTTCTTCCAAGTGTTTATCGCCATCACCTCGGGTCCTCGGTTTGCTCTAGTGTTCCTTTGGTACATCCTGACCTCGCGCCCCAACTCAGCTCTTCCTAAGTTCATCGCCGGCGTTGGACTGTTTCGGACGTTTACATGCGGTGGTTGGACGTACGTTACATCTACAGATGACCATGATTGGCATGATATTTTCATGATCTCTTACCTTGTTGCAACGTTGCCCTGGACTCTTGGCTGCCTTGCGCTTAGCCCAAACAACCGCCGGGCTGTGAAGTACAGGAAGATTTTGGCGAGTTGTTTCTTCGGAACTCTTGTTCCATTAATTTACTATTTCATCCAGCACAAGGTGCATAAGGTCGCGGGAGGTGTGTATCTCGTTGTATAGCTTCTTTCGTCCCTGATTCTAACTCTATTACTTTTAGCTTACACCAAGTATGCCTTTTTTGAATGGTCCCTTATACTGTTTGATGTGGGTTTCGATGCTGTCACTGCACTCGACTTCGACGCATTTGAGATTGTGGTCAGGGATGTCAAAGGAATTAGCAGAGGGTATGTACAGTGGCTTCCGAAGTAAATCAAGAAGAAAAATGTACGGTTGCCAAGATGTGGATGTTGCTATTTGAGAACAGTGTTCTAAGGTTTTAATCTCCAGGCAGTTGAAGACCACTGCAGACTCCGTCCTTGAAAAAGAGTGTGTATAATCTACTCTCCAAGACTATTAAAACGTTTGGCAATTAACTCGTAGCTAGGAAAGGAAAGCCTGTTGGAAATACGTTCGGCGAAGGTTTCTTCTGGACAGAGATCATCGATGCCGCTGCAGATGCCTACAATATGGTAAATCTTAAAATGGCCTCACAAGTGGACCTGATTACTGACCAAATGTAGTTTGTGTTCTGGTCCTTGTGGACTGCCCTTGGTGTACTCGTCTGGTGTAAGTGTCTATGGGAACTTTCTCTCACAATCTTCTGACAGAGTTAGACTTCCCTCTTTGGCATATGGGTATCTCTGGTTACGAGTTAGCAATCCTAAGTTACGTATCTCCGGTCCTCCTGGTCATTCCCTCCTTGAAGTCTGCCGCCACGAGAAATCCTCGACTTTTCCACTTTCTGTCACTTTCCGGGCTACTTGCGTATAAGGTGCAAGACCCTGCCAATCGACTGTTTATGACCACTTTCGCGGTTTCTTGCAGCTGTATTGCATGGTCTGCGACACTGTATGCCGAAAGGGCAAACGGCTCTAGGCTGGAATCCCGTATCTTTGCATGGGGCATTGGCTTGATCATGTCGAGCATTGCTAAGTTTGCATGCAAAACAAACAACCCCATCTGGCCTATCATGCATGCAGAGAATGGAGGATGGAATAAATTGGGTCTTTTCCTTGGTGTCCTGGCCGTCCTCAGGTCGCACAGACGACCTCCGACTAATGGAGGGGATTACTTCCCCTCAAGCGGCAGGAAAGGCTCTTCATTATTTGCCGCTTTTGGTATCGGTGGTCTGCTTTTCGCAATGCATTCCCTCCTCTCCGACTCCAGCACCATGATCGCTTGGGTTTGGGAGGGATATCCCGTGCGCGGCCCTATTGCAGTACCTCATGGTGCACTCACTATTCTTGCAATGGGTGCTGGACTTATTTACGGTCTGTATTATCCTGGCGTTGCTGGAAGCTGGACTGCATATGGGATTGCGGCTATTGGTGCGGCACTGCTTACTTGTTCCAGTCACTGGACTGGATTCTACGGTGGCCTCATCCTTGCATTCTACCTTCTCGCAGTCACTCCAGTCTTGGTATCGTCGGCTGTTCGCCATTCACTGCCTAAAACATTTGGTATCGGTTTCTTCCTGTACACATTCTTGATTCTCTTCCATGTGTGGGTTGTTGCGTATGCCTTTGTTCCTGGTGGGCCTCTCGTCAGAGAGCACACCGATTGGATCATGATCACCACTATGTTATCGATTGGGGCTGGTGTCTTCTCTGCTGCTGTCACCAACTCATCGGGTACTAAGAGCAAGATCGTCAGTCCGAATGGCAAACGACAGCGGTCGTATTTCATCTATATTCTAGCGACGCTGCAGCTTATTTCCATGGCTATTGCGTATCTTCGCTTCCCTACAAACGACTATGTGCCATATCACAAAGAGGATAAGGTCGCGACTGTCGGCATTTGGACAGTTCACTTTGGTCTCGACAATGACATGTGGTCATCGGAACGGCGTATGCGCAATGTCATCCAGGAACTTGAGCTTGATGTCATTGGCCTTCTTGAATCTGATAACCAGCGCATCATTATGGGCAATCGCGATATGACCCAGGTCCTGGCGGAAGATCTTGGCATGTACGCAGACTTCGGTCCTGGTCCTAACAAGCACACGTGGGGCTCAGCTTTACTTTCCAAATTCCCAATTGTCAATTCTACTCACCACCTCCTTCCTTCTCCTGTTGGTGAACTTGCTCCGGCCATTCATGCCACTCTTGATATGTATGGAGAGCTGGTTGATGTTGTCGTGTTCCATTCGGGACAAGAAGAGGACCCGGAAGACCGCCGCCTCCAGACCGAATACTTATCGAAGTTAATGGGTTCATCCCCTCGCCCCCTGATTTTACTGAGTTACTTGGTCACAAAGCCACTGGAAGGTAATTACAATACTTATGTCAGTGAACTCAGCGGTATGAAAGATATCGACCCTACCGATTGGGACCGATGGTGTGAGTACATTCTCTACAAGAACATCAAGAGGACTGGCTACGCTCGTGTTAGTCGGGATTCTATCACAGACACGGAGATTCAGGTAAGTCTTGCCGTGCATGCCATGTTCATGCCTATAGCCCTTTGCGGAAGGGGAGCTGTTTCATCATTGCTGACCAACTGCTGTGATAGGTCGGCAAATTCGTCATTGGGGAATCCGAGCCTGAGAATGAGATGCGACTGCCCGAGGAAATGGTACCAGAAGGGCGTCGATTCCCCGGGTTGTTCCGCGGACAGGGAGTTCGCGGTCATCGTTATCATGTCTTTGATGAGCCCAGGTATTGGCAATAAATGCCACGTGAAGCGGTCAGCCAACCCTGGCTCTTTCTCTGGGCGGCTCAGGTTTTCGGGATCCCTGGGTTATTTGTATATTCTACGATGCGAGGACTCCAAGCCTGTGATGGCTGGTTATTCGCGATATTTGTCACGACTATGTACTGTGAATCTCAATCAAGCTCTTTCTTATAATATTTTATCTTTGAATGTGGAATAGATGTGGTATGTTCATACTTGTGAAAAACAGGCAACTGTTGTACGGAGCACATAGGGCTTAGAAGCGGATCCTAGACGCATTGACTACAGAACTTGTTGATGTGGCTATTGACGTCTACCAAGATGAACTCATCCTGTATTCTTCCATCACGGACCACGGCATATGCAAACGCTTGTAAAAGTCAAACCTACCCCGAGCTGGGATGTGGAATGTGGAGATCATACCGTCCCTCCTTCGTGTACGTGACCGAGTGCATATGACAACGGTATGAGCTTCCTGTATGATTCCCCCATGACTCATCAAGGGAGGAGAGCTCGTTTCACTTTCTCTTCCGAACAAGATATTCAGGACGCGAAACTTGCGTTAAGCCTTAGATAGCGCATTCCAGCCCTGCAGACTCAACCACTGATCTTCGCGTCTCGAGTTATTGCACGTCGTATTCTCAGAACAGTTTCGTTTGCAATACATATACCGTGGAATGCATTAGTTTCTTTGATGATTAACATTTTAATAATTGCTTATTAGCTAGCTTTCTGGCCAAACCTCATGATACGGTTAAGCCTTGGACGCCAGCATCTCGTGAATGGCATATGGCCTTTTTCTTTTCTTTTTTCCCACATATTTCTACCCCTCATTAACTTTATTTCGGGGCATCTCCTTATAAAGCAGACATATCGATGTTTCTGCTCTTCCCTTTTAATTATTTGTCGGTTTCCCAGGACGAGAACGTGCTTAGAAGGCTGATATTCTAATATCTTCCTTCTGAAGACTTACCGCACTTTCTTTGTTTTGCCTATCTAGCTTCAATTTGTGAGTAATACAGAGCCTATCAGGGTTACTTGAGTCTCTGCGCTTCATCCATCTGTCCAATCACTCCTAGATATGCCGTTAAAGCAATTTACTGTATATCCGTGTTAACTATTTGCAGACCGACCTCCGTCACAACGTATATTGAGAAATGTTTGCCGTACATAGTATATGAACTTTCATCTCGAACGATACTTTGTCATTTGATCCATATACAAGCAGGAATTTGGGGAATGTACGAACCCCATAATCGAGATTTTGTCCTCCGTATAGATTGGGACGACACAGCGAGCTGTCGTATGGTGGACCACACAATATCCTCATAGTTACAATGTCGAAGTCGCTAGGAGAACCACACAAGCCAAATTCTGAGAAGAATATACATCAATCCTCTGGCCTAGAGAGCCCAGAAGTTCAACATGTTGAAATGGCCTCTGGCCCTGGGACGGGTTCGCGTTTTTACCCGACCACGCCTGTTGATATGAACGATGAACGCCAGCTCTATTCAAGGACACCTCTTCCTTCACGTACTTTGGCTAACGCACGAGCTGCACTGCAACAGCTAGTTTTAAGATCTAGATATGAATCTTCATACATGCCACTTGAAGAATATGGCTCGCAGGGCTCAATTAATCTTCCAACTCAGCCGCCCCCTGCTAGAGTCATCGACCAGTCTGGTGTCTCAAATCACAGAAAATCCTCTAGCCATAGCGCGGGTTTTGATGTAAGATGCACTCAAGAAAATGGGCCGCCAGCGATCTCATTCGGGGTCAATGCACCCATGCCACGTTGGCGAATCGAGCGTATTCATCCAATGCTTGCACGGGGAAGTCAAGCGCTGCGATGGGTGTTCGATGCTGGCACAGACTTTGCCCGGCTTGGATGGTCAGATGATATGGTTTACGAATACGCATACAGGTGGCTTGAGGAAGCTTCCAGCGATCCATCATTCAGACGATATGCGAGGTCCAACATTCTAGGCGAATATGGCAAAGATCCGCTACCGACCCTCCCACCAGCACCAAGTACTTGCTACTTTCGATCATGGTCTCAATCATCGGGAACAAATGATAGCTGGTACACGCATCCAGGCTATGAGCATTCACGTAAGGAATGGCCTTTAGGTACGCAATAACCTTTCCATTCTTTTTTCAACTTTACATATGGACACTTCAGCGAGGACAAGGCTGACGCCTCAGAAGCTTCTACACAGTCGACTCAGACTGACCAGCAGCATTCGGGGAATCATAGGACCCACCACAATTATATGTTTGACTTTGAACCTTCTGGAGGCTGCAATGAGACTGACCTCGAGCTTGGTCGATACAAGCCGACTCGTACGTTGCGGAAAGCAAGTACGGACGAAGGCCGACCAATGCAGTTCAAAGTATATAGGTGGGTCTGGTTCAGCGTCGCCTTTTTGGTATTGAGCATGTTTTTGTGTCTTTTCTTGTACGTTTTTAGGATTATCAAATGATATAGTGATGAGGTGGTGTTGAGGCGGACGATCATTCTTCGCAAGTTATCTTGCAATACTATTCTGTAGTTAAATATCACTAGGGCCTCAGGTCCCTCGTAGAATAGGGTTTCATTGGCCCACAACTCCACGCGAGTCTCTGGGGTAATGTTAACTCCAATTATATTAGTCCTTCAGACTGGCGTTCGTGGGCAAATGTTTTTCTTCTCCATAAAAGAAATGACATAGTAGGTGCAGCAAGTGCATAAACAAGCTGGATAGTATGGCCAGAACCATGGTTATGGAAGGAGTATACTGTCGAATACTCTTGCTCTCTTGTTATACCTTTTAAGGAATCATTGGGCTGTGTTCGCTATGTATTTGGGATTCTATTTTCCAACGAAAATTTACAGATAGATTGACCTCCAGGATGATTGCTAACTCCTGACATAACAAACAAGCCCACAGCGCCACCAGCCTCAACATCTGTCACAAAACCGTCTCCTTGCAAACCCAAGAAGCCTTAATGAGGTAGATGCCAAAAGCTATTGTGCATAAGAATCGCATACTCGCCAGAACCCTTCACATTGAGCTCTCCGCATTCGTTCGTGCGAAGCCAGTCGCCTCCACTCTTGAACCGGACCCAGTAGGTTTGTCGACTGATTCTCGACCACTGGAGCATGGCATCATCGGGATTCTCCACGTGCTTGAGGATCACCCAGTCGCCTGATCGGCTCACCGTCATACCTGAATCAATATCACGGAGGATGAAGCCATCTTGGTGGATCTCGACATCAAGCTTGAGAGCGACATTCTTATCGGGCTTTGCATAGACCCAAGGAGTGGGGTCGCTGCCTTGGGGCTCGACAGTGAGGGTGCCAATGCCTTCGTCCCCAGCGGTCCAGTAGAAGTCTGATCCGACTTGGGTGGTTGTTCGGTGCCATTTCACCTTTTGCGCGCGGATGTAGCAGGGATCGCCTCGCATGATAACCTGGTGCTGTTAAACTGACCTGATCTTATTCTTATTCAAGGGTCACTAAGGGGTGAGCCATACAATCTAGAAAGCCCTATGGTTGAGGTTGCTTAATATGGTGTTTATCTTGCAAAATAAAGCGAGGTTGGCGGGGATTCAGTTGCTCAGGTTGGGATATATTGTACATTTTGATAGACAGCGAGACGGTGTATATTTATCTTGCTGGACGGAGACTGTTGTGACGTCATGGCAGGCTTCTGAGGTTGGAGGATCAGCATGATAGACCATGATCATCCCTCCTGTACCCAGATTATACGAAGTTGAGAATCAACATTCAACAGCTACGTATTGAGTCTCGCAAGTTTGGGTTCGTCCGGGCGGGTCGGCACTGTCAGTGGGCCCAGCTTAACCGTGGATCTTGCGGGAAACAGTTAAAGATTAGCACGCAGATAGGACATATACCATCATAGATGCCCCGCAAGACTCATAGACGGCTGACGGATGGAGATGCGACTCCGATTGAGGGCTTAGTCGCTCGGCATTGGCGAAGGTAGATTTGCGTCGATTGGTTTGTTTTCTCAACCAACGAGCTATAGCAAAGGTGATGCTCGGACACTGATTTCCATAACGGCGGTAGAGTATAGACTTGAATTTGGTCCCTGAAACCCGGTTTGCCATGACGAGCAACTGTGACGCTAAACCTCCCCAGTTTTCGCAGTCATATCAGGAGCCCAATAGTTTCCCGACATGCATAAGGCGCTAGGGTGTTCTGCATTTCTCCTTCATTGAGGGCTAACCTGCCAAAACACAAATAATACCCGCAAGAAGTCATTGAAATCCTTCCGAGTCCGAATAGAACCTACCAGAATCTAGATTCTGGAAGAAAAGCTCTTAGTTGGTTGACCCTGGTGGAGGATCTGGGACGGTGGTGATACTGTCTGTTGATGAACCGAGCAGTTTGTACATGAAATCCTGCAAGCCTAGAAAGTCGTGTATTGCTATCTGCTGGCATCAAACGTGATGGCGCTTAGTTGAGGAACCTAGCCAGGGACTTGCTGAATAAGCCATGGATCATTTTGTACAGTAGATATTGGATACTTATAGCGATATTATACAGAGCTTTCCTGGCTCCTTAAAAATGGCAGGCAATTATCTTGAAGATAATAAACCATCTGTTTCTTCGCAAGGATCTACCATCGACGCGGACACCGAGCCATCTGATACCTACTCTACTATGGAAGTCACTGGCTTCTCGCTCACAGAATCGTGCTGATCTATTATAAGAGACATCCGGTCGGCTCCAAAGCGGTGGCTACTTCACTTTTTCTGGGACGACCGAATAATAGTGGGCAGAGTATCTGAGGCTGACTCTTCTCTGTATCTTAAAAACGACAAAAGGATTTCACCATAACCGTCGGCAGCCGCCCCAACTAACTAGCTAAGCATGTCGGGTGTTGTTCGAAAAGAGTTGCGATAGAAGGGAGATCTCATCCATAATTAAACCGAATCATGGGAATAGTGGCAAATCTATGGAAGTCACTGTAGGTCATCTTTGCCAGGAAGAAGATGCTCGCTGATAAAATATACCCACGAGCTTGATATCTCCAGATTCGGGTCCATGTTATATCCGGTAAATCTCTCCATATATCGAGGGTACCAGATGGGTGATAATAACATGGACCCAGAGAACCTGAATATTGGCAAGGAGAGCTATGTAAAGAATCGCGCGTAGACTTTCGTTCCATGGAGAACCATCGCTGATTGGAAGGAGCGCTGGAAGGGGAGCGCTCCATGTGAAATCGTATATAATAAACAATATGAATCCATTCACCCAGAAGAATGGACCGGCGTGGACACGTAGATGATGGATAGCGATACGTAAAGAGTCAGTAATGCTAGACTGGGGGCTTTCAATTGTGGCAATGGTTTGTATGACCATCGCGTAAGAGTATTGAACCTGTGGGTTTATATAAGTGAGCATGAGGTATATGTATTTTGTGGAAAGGGACCCCCTCGGTGTTGTGAACGGTTTACTCACTAGCCACCATAGCACGATGAGAAGTTCTGTCAGCATTTTGATGATGGGGGAGAAGGAATGGTCAGCCTTGTCAACAGAAGCGCGGATACTATACCCTCTTCCTCAATGGGTCTGACACCCTGGTCATGATGCTAGGTTATGATGGTTACATCGCCTATTCATGCATCCTTGATAGTGCTTTTAGTAGCGATCCTAATGCTGTCACCTGAGGGGATGCTACTGCTAGCATCTACATTCGTACTGGCGACTAGCTGACTCGCTCCATTCGGATTAGTTGGCGTAAAGCACCGTTTGAAAGCCTCGTTAGGTGTTAAAATCGAAATATCAGATTCACTTATTGTGTCACTCGGAGCCTTCTCCCCCAGAGAAGATGTTTGACTTGGCATCAGATCAGTTATACTTGATTCGGCCGAAAATCATATGTTCCACTACTAGTATGATCTAAGGCAATATAACCAGTGTAGAAAGTTACCGGATTTAAGAATCTACTCATCGTGCACTTCAATTGTGCTATCTTATTGTTACCCAGCGACTGTTCTCCTCCACCGCAAACCATACACGCCTTACGACAGAGTTATGATGTAAAAACGAAGATCCGTCTCATATTTCGAGGCATAGACTACCCATGGCTAAGTACCGTGCACCGGATCTACTTTCGAGCCTTGATATCCCTGTGGAGCTACGGTCCTGGAATAATCCAGGAGAACTGCTCCTAATTTACCCACAAGGAAACAACAGATCCATTCGCCCGTGGGTGGTGGAGGAAAATTACTCCATCGACGGGCATCAACCATGAAGCGAAACAGAAGAAAAAGGAAAGTCTGCCGAAGGTTTATGATTGTCCACTAGCACAAATGACAGTTCAACCCAAATCCAAGCATTGAATGGCCTCGCCTATACTATTAACAGATCACCACCCCAAGTCTTGTCAGTAACTGGAAAGTTTTTGCCCCCTGTCCATGTCTTGGACTATGAACTAGTGGTGCATTGATGTAACCATCCCCACCACTGTAAGCCCGGGGAGGCGAGGTTGGAAGGAAGTATACGATCTTCACATTGATTGAATACACCAGGTCATGTGAATATAAAAGTTGCAAACAAGACAAACACCGGATCCGCAATGCTTCATCGGAACTCACGTCAGTAACACGATTCCTCCTCAATGCCTTGAGTTTTAATCCGTTTCTAAGGGAGGAGAGACATGATGTTATAATTGAAGTCTAATAGCCTTAACCGTTCCTGTATTTGAATTGATGCCTCGATTGGAAGCGCTGCACCGCTAAGTGTCCGAGACAAATCCAACTCCGTCGCCAACTTTGAGGTTGGCCGATGAGCGAGGCCAAAAACTGCAAAGATGTTTACGTTCACACCTTTGCTTGGCGCACAGTCGTCCTCCTCGAAGGCTTCTCAGTCAATCTTAGAGCTGGATGGTGGAATTAAGATCCTTGTGGACGTCGGCTGGGACGATACCTTTGATCCTCTGGATTTGCAGGAACTAGAAAAGTGAGCTCCGTTCTATGATGACAAGACAGCTAGCTAGCTTGCCTTCCTTCTCAATAATCCTTAGTCTGATTGATTTGTGCTAGGCATGTTCCTACCCTTTCATTAATCCTTCTGACCCACGCTACCCCTGCGCATATTGGTGCCTTCGCCCATTGCTGCAAGACCTTCCCTCTTTTTACTCAGATTCCCGTCTACGCCACGAGCCCCGTTATTGCGCTTGGTCGCACACTGCTGCAGGACCTGTACGCCTCCTCACCACTAGCTGCAACCTTCCTACCCAAAGCCTCGATCTCGGAGCCGGGCGCATCTACTTCCGCAGCATCTGCCGCAGCATCTGCACCAGACGGTGAAGGAGGCGCGGATGCTACTCATTCCGGAAGAATCCTCCTTCAACCTCCAACCGCAGAGGAAATTGCCAGATACTTCTCCCTGATCCATCCCCTAAAGTACTCGCAACCACACCAACCACTTCCTTCCCCTTTTTCTCCTCCACTGAACGGCCTTACGCTCACGGCTTACAATGCTGGACACACGGTGGGGGGAACAATATGGCATATACAACATGGCATGGAATCTATCGTTTACGCTGTCGACTGGAACCAAGCACGAGAGAGTGTAATGGCAGGTGCTGCATGGTTCGGCGGGTCAGGCGCCAGTGGAACGGAGGTCATAGAGCAATTGCGCAAACCCACCGCGTTGGTTTGCAGTACAAGAGGAGGCGATAAGTTTGCCCTTCCAGGAGGACGAAAAAAGCGGGATGACTTGCTATTGGATATGATTCGGAGTACTCTCGCCAAAGGAGGCACTGTTCTGATTCCCACTGATACTAGTGCTCGAGTTTTGGAACTGGCATATGCACTGGAGCATGCGTGGCGCGACGCTGCTGGAACAGGGCAAGAGGATAATGTGCTAAAGGAGGCTGGATTATACCTCGCAGGTAGGAAGGCTAACACGACAATGAGGTTAGCCCGGAGTATGCTAGAATGGATGGACGAGAATATTGTGCGAGAGTTTGAGGCTGCGGAAGGTGTAGATGCGGCTACGGGTCAGTCTCGAACTAATCCTGGTGGTCAACGGTCTGGCCAAAACCAAGGCAAAGAAGAGAAGGGCACTGGCCCTTTTACTTTCAAACACCTGAAAATTGTTGAGAGGAAAAAAAAGTTGGAGAAGATCTTGAATGACCAGACCCCCAAAGTCATTTTGGCTTCCGACACGTCACTGGATTGGGGTTTTGCAAAGGAATCTCTCCGTCTGGTAGCGGGGGGCCCGAACAATCTTCTCTTACTCACGGAGTCTTTTCATAAGGAGAGGCTTGCCGACAACCAGGAAGATCCTTATCGGAAGACTCTGGGTAATATGATCTGGGAATGGTATGAAGAAAGGAAAGATGGTGTCGCACTGGAAAAGTCCTCCGATGGCGAGATGATTGAACAGGTCCATAGCGGTGGTCGAGAGCTCTCCTGGTCAGACG